TCCTTGATGTGATCTTGAATAATGGAATACTTGGAATGATCTCTATATCTTCATTGAGGTTCTTCTTTGAATGTAAATCATCTATAACACTCAATGTGAACATTAGTCCTTAAACACCATTAATGGTTTGTTATCATCAAAACATCTAGATTGTTATTGGATGAAATCCTTAAGGTCAACATAAACTTAAGGAGATAAGGTGACAATCTCATAAGGTAATTAAATGATAAGATTTGATTAATTCAAATGTTGCACTAAAGATACGATTAACTAATCCCTTCTCTCCCGGAAGGAAATGCGGAAACGACAACTTTAACTTTCTATAAAAGTGTGGCCAGTCAACATAAAAAGGTAAGCTATAAATCCCATCTGATAAGAAATCCTTTCTCGAATATTCAATGGTCAAGTACTAACTTGATCGTCGAAGTGCACCCGGTCGATACCACGCCGATCATCACTTCTCTTATCTTACAGAAATGGCTATTGGCTCCGGATCGTGCGGATTTTTGCATCAACAGTTGTTATCATTCAGATTATGTTATACCTATTTACTGCCTATTTAAAGAATGTGATTGTAATCATATATGTATCAAAAAATTAATATAATTTCCGTGATTGTTTCCTTTCACGTATATTTTCCTTCCTATTCTTGTTGTTACGTGTTGGTTCATTAATAGCCAAAAAGGCTAACAGTGGTATCAGAGCAGTCGACAATCAATCGAGATTACACAAAAGCGTGGAAAAGGTTGAGGTAAAAAAAACGATGGCCACAACAAGTAATAACAACTCTCATCCATTTGTTCCTACTTTCAAAGGTGAAAATTACCAGTTTTGGAGTATTAAAATGAAAACAATTTTTATTTCTTTTGATTTGTGGGAATTGGTTAAGAGTGGTTATGCAGAAAATGATAATCAGGAAGAGAGAGTTACTGCTATACAAAGAATAGCATTGAAAGAAAACAAGAAGAAAGATGCAAAGGCCTTGTCCTATATCCAATAAGGGTTAGATGAAGAATAATGGGAGCCAAAACATCCAAGGAAGCATGGGAGTTGCTTCAGAATGAATACGAATGATCGAGTCAGGTAATTACTTTAAGGTTACAGACTCTCTGTCATGAGTTTGAAACATTGATGATGAAAAATTCTGAGTCAATTCATGCTTACTTAATTAGAGTTACTTCTATTGTTAATCAAGCAAAATCTCTTGGTGAAAATTTGAATGATAAAAAAATCAATGAAAAAGTTTTGAGAAATCTAACTCCTAAATTCAATAGTGTCGTAGCTGCAGTTGAGCAGTCAAAAGATTTATCTAAGTTGTCTTTTACTCAATTGATGGGATCACTAAAAATGCATGAAAAAAAGATTAAACAGGTTTACAGAAAGTCAAGTGGAGTAGGCTTTACAAACAAAATTAGAGTTTAAAAGAGGCTCAAATGGAAAAGGGAAAAACTATGGATTTCAAGGCAAAAGAGGGAATCAATTCAATGGAAAAGGGAGACAATTCAATAAAGGTAATGGCGAAATTCCTATTTGTTTTCATTGTAGGAAGAAGGGTCGTATTGAACAAGATTGTTGGTACAAAAATAAGAATCCCAATATCCCTCAGTGTTCCTTTTGTGAAAAATATGGACATAATGAAAAAGTCTGTTGGTTTAATCCTAAAAATCAAGCTAACTTTCATGAGGAAAGAGTTGATGAAGAAAAAGTTGAAGATGAAAATGCTAATGATGAACATCTATTCATATCTTGCCTCAATGTTACAGAAAAAAAAAAAAAAATCTGGTATTTTGATAGTGGTTTAACCATATGACCGGAGATAAATCTATTTTTGTTTAACTTGATGAATCTATAATGTCTCAGGTACATATAGGGAACGATAAAAGGGTGCGTTCAAGGCAAATGAACCGTTGCAGTGAATACAAATTTTGGTAAAAAAATTGATTGATGAAGTTTTGTATGTTCTAGGTTTGGCTCAAAATTTGATCAGTTTGGGACAGCTACTCAAGAAAGGTTGTTCAGTTATGTTTGAAGATGACAAATGCATGTTGTACAACAAAAAAAATAAAAAAATTAATATTGTTTTAAAAAATGTCTGATAACAATATTTATCCTCTTGATTTTTCTAAGCTCGGGGATGATAAGAAGGAGAAAGAAGTGGTTGCATGCACTGCAAAAACAACTCCAAAAAAACACTGAGAATTCAAAAAACAAAGAAGAAACCAATGGAAGACAAGTCTGAAAAGACTGAAATTTCAAACAAAACAAAGCATGGAAAAAGCAACAATGCTAGGAGAAGATTCAAAAGAAACAATAGCAGTGATCGTGGTAGAAATTTGAAAACATACCCTAAAATTTGTTAAATTTTTTTGAAAATTTGAATTAAGGGGGAGTATTGGAAGTTAATTCAAATTTAACTTTATTGATATCGTCAATGTTATCGTGAATGTTATCGTGACAGTTAGAGTTTTGAAATTAAAATAAAATGATTGATAAGTTTAGGTTGTTACGTTACGCCTATTTAAAGGATGTGATTGTAATCATATATGTGTCAAAAATTTAATATAATTTACGTAATTATTTACCTTTCATGTATATTTTTTTGTTCATGTTGTTACGTAATGGTTCATTAATAACCAAAAAGAGTAACAAATATATTTAATTGAAAGTGACGTAAAACTCAATTGAGTAAAGAGTCTTCGACATTTTATTTCATTTAAACTCTCAATTCAGAATAGTATTATTCAACTCACAATCATACGAATTTGAATATAAGGAGTCCATTCTCTAATACATTGAGACAAAGGGTTTCTAACAAAGTGGCCACTAAGTCCCGTCAATCGCGTGGCTTCCTTTCTTTGTGGAAGAAAAATTTTCCGTGAGAAAGTTTCACCAAAACTGTTTGGACAATTTAAAGGAACATCTGTGTCATTTCTTCAACTTTCTTTTGAGGTTGTGGGATGTAATTTGATGGTCCAACAATACCTCATCATCTAATCCTAAAGCAAATTCCCGTTAACAAGAATGAATGGAAAGAAAGAAAAGATACCTCCTCCTGTTTCCCCATTATTAGGTGCCCATACTCTCTGTATCTCTCTCTCTCTCTCTCTCTCAATAATTAATATATATATATATATATATATATATATATATATATATTCCGTGTATGCAATTATGCATTTCTAAAGTTGTGTGTATACAATGTATATGTTTGGACGTGTAACATGTGTTTTTCTGTTCAGTGGAGACACAAACTAATGGATTAACATTTTTTTTAAACAAAAAACTATGTGCCTGTGTGTGTGATTTCTTTTTTTCGGGGGTAGTATTGAATAAGAAAAAAAGTATCTCACCTATTTCACAAAAAAAATTAATAATAAAATAAAATAAAATGTTTGTCTCATGATTGTTAAAATAGACTTTGTTTTGTTAATACATATCCTAACTAACACAAATATCTTTAAGATAAGTAAATTTTAATTGAAATTATTTACAGAAAAAAATTAACTTGGATCTTGTATAACACTGAGTTTCAATCTTGCTATTTTCTATTTGTTGATATGTTGCATAAATGCGTAGTCAACAAAATATTCTATGTCAAAATTGTATTATATATTTTCAAAATAAAACGATGAATATAATTATTTTTGTAAAAAATCTACTCTAAAAAATTGCTGAGACACATTAATGTTGTTGATTATTATAAGTAAAATTAATTTAATAATTCTTGTTATCAAGAGCATATTCGGTCTCCTGAATATTGTTGGTGACTTGTTTCTACAAGCCAAAAGTGTGAAGAGCAAATCGTACTTTTTATTAAAAATGAAATCATCTATTTTTCTCTTTAAAATGAGACTATGTTGTATATGTCGTGATCTCTGCTCCCATTTTCGAGAGGTTGAGAGTTCGATACGTGGTGGGGGTAAAAACTAAAAATATATAACAAGTATATATTTGCTTGAACTTTTTGAAGTTTAAAAGACCTAATTATTCCAACGTAGTTATGAAACCTGAATTACAAGTCCGACTTATGTTGGCGCTTCAAACTCCAATGGGGTTTATGTTGGGCCTGATTGAAGTCCGATTGATAGTAGCTGTGCTAACTCCTATCACAGCAATTACAGTAAGGCCTGAAGCCCAACTTTTCATTTATCTAATAGACGAAACAAATTGGAACTTTTGGGCTGGATCAGAGACGACTCAACAAGCTAACAATGTGGGCCTTGTTTTAAAAATTGGGCCTTCTTTTCATGCTACTTTTGTAGACACAGAACGAAAAATCACTGCTCTCTTATCATATTCATTTCATCCAACTTTGGGATAAAAGCAATACTCCTATGAGCCTTTTAATTAGAGGTTAATTAAGAACCCTACCGACGAGAAGATTTTGGTTGTGCCGGGCATACCATCCAATGCGAATGTAACATATCATTTCGTTATTAGCAATTTTAAAAAGTAGGTGGGCCAACTTTCATGAAATGACAATATTTTCATTAGGTGGGCAATACATGCTGATGCAACTCATATCTACTACTTCTTAATCCAAATCCAATGTAACCGACCGAATTCACTCCTATCATTAGTGAATTTTGCTACTAATACAGTTACCGTTATAATAGCATAATTTACCAATGACCATAGTGAAATTCTCTAATTGTGAAAATCTTGATTGAAATTTGGTTCAATTGAATTAAATTTTTTTCAATCCCAAATTTAAAGTGTCAAATCCTTTCTCCCAAATATAGGTTCAAATTTGTTAGATTCACTGGCATTATAAATGGCTTAAAGCATCTTGGTAGAACTGTCACTAATTTTAATCTTGCAAGGAAAATTATGAGAAGTCTACCTAAAAAATGGGATACAAAAGTGACAGCTAACAAGGAGGCTCACAATCTCAACACCCTTGAACTTGATGAACTTCTCGGCTCCTTTCTCACATGGAAGATTACCTTGAAAGATAGAGAAGGAGATCAACACCCCAAACAAATACGCTCAACCACAACAATATTTTTTATTAATAGATATATTGCCATACTTCTTACAAATAAAAAGCTAGCCACAACTTCACTTTTAACTAAAGGCACCAAAACCAACCTTAGGTCACGAAGGTTGAACAAAAGCACACAAAAATAAAGCAACCAAGCATAGCAAGTAGTCAATACATCATTTTCATGACTTTCTTCCAAGAAGGGCGGCTTGAGATATCCATCCACCAGTCATTCACATTCTTCCTCTCCCTCACCAAGTGCCCCTTCCCAGCCTCATTCACGAGATACCTAATGGCGGGAAGGTGGCTCAGGTCGGCGAGGGAGAAGGAGTCTCCGGCAAGGTACTTGCACTTCGACAACCTGTCCTCGTACACGTCCAGCACTTTCTTGAGCTTGTTCTCGGAGCTGTGGACCAATGCCATGTCGCCACGCTGCCCCATCCCGGGGAGGATCACAAGATGAAGCACCATAGCGAACACCAAGTCATTGAAGTTGTGTGCTTCTACTTCCAGCCATTGATCAATTAGGGCTCTCTCCTCCAAGGTGGTTCCTAGTAGGTTGGGGCTTTTGTTTGCATACTTGGCTGCGTAGTAACGGATGATTGCCCTCGATTCTGCAGAAATTGTCAACCAAACACGGAACAGGAATAATGAATTATTTCACATACAACATTGAACAATACTTGTCGATTACGAAATTAATTGTTTTTTTCAATCTTTTATTCTAGGTTCTAATGACATACTAATAAATAAATATTACAAATATATATATATATATATATATATCTAATTATATAAATAAAATAAAACCACCCATATTTAATTTGACAAAAATCAATTAAAACATATGCAGTGGTAATAATTTATAAGTTATAGTAAAAGATATATCAACTAGGCCATGTTTCAAGATCAATAATATGTTTCAAAATAATTATAATCTTTATTACTTTGTTTTTTTTTTTATAATTATAATTTATTTACTTTAAAATTTTAAAGCAAACTTGTCGAAGTTAGATTAATACCTATAAGACTATAAATCATCTAATTTTAACTTTATTTTATATAAACATATAACCTCAAAAAAAATTATCAACTTTAATTGTATTTTAGATTCTTCGAATCGTTCCGCGTAATAAAACCTTTATCCAAATCTGGTTCAAAATAAATTCGACTCTAAAATTTAAACTCAGTCCTAATTTCATAGTCACAAGTGCTTATAAAATTTTGTAATGGGACTCGGGTTGTACTCTGGTTAGGCCCACCCAAGCTTTGAGGCAACCCAAAATTCTGCTGCAAATATATGAAATTGCATATACAAATGGATGATATTCTTACCGAAAAGTTTGAGATCTCCATCCTCTATGGCAGGAACTTGTCCAAATGGCTACAAAATAATGAATAAATCCATTATTAAAAAAAATAATAATAACAAAACATAAATAAAAATTAAATTCGCTTGTGTCTAATAGGAAAATTAAGTAGAATTGAATGAAGAAAATTTTAATAGAGGGCACGTAACTCTTATCATGAATATATATATATTTTTTAAATGGGGAATCCTTCTAACCACGGGGCTTTTTGAAATTATGGTAGCAAGGTAAATATGGGGCAATCACATGCATATCTTTTAAAGTCACATATTTTTGTATCTTGTGAGAGTCAAACTAAAGACGTCTCAATTTACGGCTCACCCTTGAGACAAGAAAACTTCTCGAAGAAGCCTTTGTAGAACACACACGCTTAATTGAATGTGCATGTGTGTGATCACTCCAAAGTTGTGCACTATGCTTGCAATGTCCATGTAATCTTCCATTGTCAATGCATATATATATATATATATATATGAGCAAGAACTCTCACCTGTCGAAGTAGAAACTCTGGACTTTTGTGCTCCCCAGTTTCAAGATCAATATGAATAAGCTCAAAATCCACTCCCAGCTCCACAAGGCAAGCCAACACCCTCTGTGGGCAAGCAGCCTTGATTGCACCGTACACTTTAACCACCATCTTCCAAGCACTAACAATATGTGTGTGAGTGTGTGTGTGTGTGATGAATATATTATGTGTACATATGAAAATATAATGAACTCCGTTTGATGCCAGCAAAGTCAGTGAATATCAACCCTTTTATAGCAAAAAAGCAAAAATCATGTATGGGCTTCCGAATTTTGGATTGTTGTTGGGATTGACAATTTTACTAGAAAACCACAATATGGGGGTTGACATGTGATGATGTGAGTACGTGTTTTTTGCCACAGCATATAACATTTAAATTATATATGTTTTTCTGTTAAATGTTTTTGTTTTTATTGGTTTTGTTCATTGTTGATTCTTTTGGACACGGGGAGTTTTGACTTTTGGGGGTTGTCACATGCTAGCATCCACCGGTTGGTGAATGGGAAAATATAAGTGTGCCATGCAAATTTTTTTAAAGATTTCATGAATAGTTACTAGTTAGGTGGTTTTAGCAATTTACATCTACTTGCTGTATGGTTCTTGACAACACACTAGGAGGGCCCACCTTCCAAGTTTTTTTTTTTTTTTTTTACATATATTTTTTTAATTTTACAATTTCTTGATTTTCAATAATGTCAACCACAAACCACAAATCTTAAATCTAAATTAAATTTGAAACTTTAAGTAGCAAGTAATCTTGAAATTAAATTGTTTTTTAATTTCTATTTCATGATACTCGATTAGATGGTTTTGAATATTTCATATACGCTTAGGCTCCGTTTGTTTCGATGTAAAATATTTTTTTAGAAAATATTTTTCTTTTTCAAGTAAAATATTCTTTTATTTTTATTTTGTCGGTGTTTGGCAAAGATCTATATTTCGGTTGAGATCGAGTCCATTGGGGTAGGGCATGTAAAATAATTTGTCGTAAATTTATTGATAAATTATTTTTGTTAAATTTTAATATTTTTTTTCTTTGTAAATATTTGATGATAACCAAACACTAAAAAATAAAAAATAAATATTTTTTAAAAAATATTTTACGTCCAAACAAACAGAGCCTTACTATTTTATTAAAATAAGAAAAATGATCCATCCTCCCACTTTGAACAATATCAAATCAGTCAGCGATGTTTGAGTGAAAATATGAGGCTCATTCATGTGGAATTACTTAAGTATGCAAGACGAAATAAGACCACTGTTTAAAAAGTGTAATGTTATCACGAAAGTACTTCGTTAAATATTTTAACCTTGTCTTTTTTTCCCCGAGTTAACAAGTTCACATCAATGGAGCTACTTTTACTTTAGAAAAGATTAATGCTATCAGGAAAGCACTTTTACAGTAAACATACTCCAATCATTAGACGAATGACAAAAAGCGTGAAAACGCTCGACCCACACAAATTGAGGTGCGAGTTCATATGAGAGTCCATCACGATAACTTTTTCTTTTAAAAATACCGAAGTTTTGATTCATCACAAACTTGAGAAGAAAATTTACACGAGTATGCTAATAAAATAGGAAAAAAAGCTATTCTAGTATTGATGAAATCAATTTGCACTGCATTACAACAACATTAGTATACATACATCTCCCCCTTTACCTCCAATTATATAATGCTATCGGTTTTACAATTTTGATGTTCATGGTTATGTTCATGCAATGGCGGGAGCCTCGTGCACACTATGCTAGCCCTTTTTTATGGTTCCGTTCACGCCTATGCCAGAACAGATGACCTTCTTGATGGTTGAATACGAGCTTTTGCATATGAAATTGGCAATGCAAGTATCTTCTTCGGTTTGCTAACGTAAGCCCTCTTCGTGAAGTTGTTATAATCGTTGGCTTCAATCTCGTCCAATATTTGGCGATACAACAGCAACGATGCCCACACCTGCAACAGCCATGATCAATGTGGATTCACATTTAAAAGGGCAGCTCAGACAAATTGCTAACATATCACTCAAATTGCAAGAACATGGCATGGCATTATGTCAATGCATCATGGACATTCAAGTACTGTGTCAAAATAGTCAAACTATACCATTTACACTATCATTAAATCTAGATTGAAAGCAAAATGATATGATTTAGTAGTGTAGCATGACATGGTCATACCATACACACAAACACACACACACACACATATATAAGCTATTTGAAAGTAACCCATATTATGTTAGTGTGAAATATTATACTGAGTTTAATTTTTTTAAAGCTCCCTACAACCAAAGAAGAGCTCTGTGGTGTTTCGCGGTATATATTAGGAAGAATAATAAAAATTTCCCACTACTTACCGGCCATCTACTAGCTGAGCTGAGTTCTGTGACTCCTTTCTCTGCCTCGTCGAAGAACATCCTTGCCCTCTTAATTTGACTCTTCATAAACTTCCTCCACTTATCTGTTACCTTTCCGGTAAATACGTCTTCATCCGAGAGCCCTGCCTGTGCCAGTTCATCTTGTGGTAGATAAACCCTTCCTCTTCTAGAACTGAAGGAAAACAAACATTTATGAGCAACCAGAAGAAAAAGGCAGAGAATTTCAATACACAAGAATGATAAAAAAGGAAAAAGAAAAAAAAAATCAAAATCTTGCAAGTTTATAAGACTGAAATGTCAATGTAAATATTTGGACATTTTTTTTTTTAGTTGTCCACTAGACTTCCATGGTGATCACAACATTACAACCAATCCATGAAAGAACTGTCTTTTATAGCTTTCGGGATGGTGGTTTAAGAACAATGTTTCTGAGGCTCAAAATGATAGCTCTGTACTTACTCTTCTCCAACATCTCTGAGTATGTTGGTCAACTGATTTGCAATTCCTAATGCCAAGGCAGCATTATAGACGCTCTCTGTTGTTGCCTTTGTATCAGGTGCAATTCCCATAATTGGAACACTCATCAATCCAACAGTCCCGGCCACATAGTAACAATAGAGATATAGCTCATCGAAGTTTTTGTATCTCGACTTTTTAAGATCCATCCTCATCCCTTCAATCATATCTTTGAATGGCTGCAAAAGAAAATATTCAAAAAATTGATAAGTTGTTCCTAAGCATTGAAAGCAGAGAAAAAAATAATAATAAAAGAGCTGAATCCCCAGAACGAGATAATGCAGAGTCAAAACAAGAATTATGAAGATAAGTGCAAATTTACCTAGATATGAACAGAATATCTAGGCAAGGATGTTCTCTAGTTAATTCAAGGCATAATGGCTTCTCATATCTACTAAAATGAAATGCTGCACTGTATTGAGGGAAAAAGAAAGGCTAATAAAGGATGGTACGGTCCTGGCCGGTGCTTAATGCACTGGTTAAATGCAGGTTGAAATCCAGAGAGCAGCCACTTCGTGCAAATACGTCAAAGGTTAGGTTTGTATCGAATCCACTGCTCCCAGCACCCACGAAAGGTGACCACACTGGGTAACAATCCTTTTTACAAAGGTGGTATGGCTCTTGAAATAGGCGCCTCCTTAAGTCCAATTACCTTTGCACTATTCTTCATCCAAGATTTAAAGTAGAGGCAAGATTCATAGATTTTAATTGTGGTAAGTCATCAAATGTTGTCACTTCCTTGATAAGCCAGGCATTTGGCTCACTCATAAGGGAAAGTAAACGAGAGGGAGCAAGTTCATGATGGTAAAAAAAATTACATCCGGCTTTATGAACTTGAGCTTTTACAGTAACTAGTCTCTCGTGCATAGAATCTTGAATTGAAACAAGGCGCAAAACGTTTGAAGAGCATGATGAAGAAACTGGCATCATGCTGTTTAGCTTGGAGCATCTTAATTATGAGAAGGATTCCATGAGGTGGTACGTTGTAATGTTAAGTAAAAACAAATTTTTTTTTTTTTTTTTTTTCAATTATGTAAAAACAATTAAAAAATTTCTAACCTGTATATCAACAGGAAACTTCATTACTGTGTCTGATAGAGCAGCGTCAAGCATATCAAAAGGCCGTCCTTGAAAGAGATCTTCTAGCCTTGACTCCCACCTGTCCAAAGCTTTAGGTGTTATGTGTGATGCATTGGGCCCATCAACAAGCTCATCTGTCCTTCTACACCACACTGCATAAACAGAGAAAATCATAAGAAAATTGATTTTGTTCGGATTGAATTCACACACACACACAATATCATGGCAACTTTAATAATTTTTTCCAGATATCAGGATAAAATTTACAAACTGTTGTTGTAATTCCAGATCATTTCTTCAATAAATTGAATAAAACCCTTATTTACCCACACAATATAAAATTGTCTAACCGGCTAAAGTAGTTAGAGAAACATATATGCCTGAAGGTAGTCAAAATCAAACCAACAAAAGAGGCAGAAAATGTATAGAGTCCGAATTGTGAGTGTTGTCTCAGCAGTACTATCTTTAGTTTAACTTATCATGAATGATGAAATAATTTCTTTATGTTTGAGAAAATAGCAGTAGTAACCTAACTTGGAGGAACAAAATTGTCATATTATAAATAACTATTTCGATTCCGTATTATAATAACATACTTCTTCAATGCAGAAAACTTTAGTGGGAGCTTCATAAATGAACTAAATTATTCTTTCTTGGCATACTCACTTGAACGAAACGTCTTTACCATATCATACAGAAAAATTCACCACTTAACTAGCATTATTGAAGACTTGTTTAATTACAAAATGCTAACAAAACAATGTTTGAACTCTCCCTCCCTCCTTAGTTGGACAGCTCAAAATTAACAAAAATTAAAAGGGAAAAGAAGTGGAAGATTACACAACAACACACGCAAAGTCAAAGTGGAGATCAAAGATTCCATTATCGGGAATTTTCTATTTGGTGGATCTGGTCCACCAACACCATTATGTTTGTTTCGAAACAGTTAATCTACCATAAATTAAAAATTAGACTGTTAATGTGTGGTTGCACATAGAAACACGCATTCAAAATTCAAATATACCAAACAATTCAGGTTCCGTATCACTAATTGAAGAAAAGGTGAGCTATTATGGTTAGAATATTAGGATTGAAGAAGATTCGCATGTATCCCACCTTTGACGGAAAATAAATAAATAAATAAATAAATTTGCATGTGAAACAAAATGTCTTGGTCACAGAAGCAAGAAATATTTAATTCAATTAAAGACCAGACCACATTTTCATTCAGCTCCAACTCATATTCTTAGCTGCTCTCAGGATTTAATTGGTTTTCCTTTGTTTTCTAACAATTACATAAATTATCCTGCAAACCATTCATCCCAAATGGAATCACAAACTACTTTAGCCTCTCAATTCTATTTGAAATGCATAACTAAGAAAATTAAATTAAAATTCAACTTAAAACATTGCATGACAAAAGTTTAAGTTACAAGCCACATAACCTCACCATATATTGCCCATATAGCTCTTCGCCTCTCGGGGGTCATTAGCAGAGTTCCTGAAAAAGGCAAACCAGAATTAATACTATAAATCAGCAAGTAATTCAAAGTGGTCCATCAACTAAATTCAATTTAACTCAAGAACAGATAAAATAAGGCTAACCCAAGTAAAATGTCTTGGCATACTCTGCACAAACTTCACCACACCGGTCATAAGCTTCACTCAACACACTCAGTGTCCCCGGAAGAACAATATCCGGTTTCACATCGAGATCATCAGTAGACCTACTATACGGCTTCTTCATCAAGGCTGCCTGCTTCAACACCACATCATAAACCTTCTGCTCCGACGTGACCACGATTTCGTGAGCCGGGTTTGCTACCATGCTCGAAAGAACTGGGAATTTTGCTCCATTCTCAAACCCTGACTCACCCAAGTAGGAATACCTCAAATCACCATAGGGAGGGCTACAATTCCACCTCTGCTTCTTACCCTTCTTGAGTCTGCCATTACACATCAAATTTGGTGAATCTACTAACCGGTTTCCCTCCCGGACTGACTCGAGGAATCCAAAGCCATTGGAGACCTCAGAACTGGGGGACACCACCCATAACAAAGCAACAGACATATTGAACTTGAAAAGTTTAGTTTTTTTGGCTCTTGAAATACTCTTTTTCCCTTCTGTGTTTTTTTTTTTTTTTTTTTTTCTGTCAAGCCTTTTATCATACAAAATGCATTCAACTCTATCCTCTTTCAAAGAAAAAACCAGAAAACAAATCAAACAGCTGACCAAATAGAACCAACTCAAGTCAAGAAAATCCTATATGTTCTTTTGAACAAGTAATGAACCAGAAAACAAATTCTGTAGTATGAACCAAATATCAAACACTAATGAAACAGTTAAAGCTCGCAAGAGAAATAATATCAAAGAAAGAGAACCCCAGAAAGCATATCATAAATCAAGCTCAGAGATTGGGACTTTCTAGTGTGAGAAGCTGAGGTTGGTGTTTGTCACTGTCTTTTGGGTAAAGGGTATATTCTATTTTAGTGAGAAATTTATTAAAATAAGCTCACTTTCTATAATTCATAGAACAAGTCGATGTTACCATTTGTAAAAACCAGACACAATGACCAGAAAAAGGAATGGAAAATAGAAAACCAACCATGGACCAACCTGTTTGGTTGGCATTAATTAACCATTCAAGTGCTAAGGCATCAACATTACAGTAAATAAAGAAACCGTGGCCACCCAAATCGCTGCCCACACAATCTGACCCACCCAATTCCACACTCTTCCACATTCTTCAATTTGTTGTCTGTACACAATTAAGCTAATTAGCTAACTTTTGTTGTTAATTGCATATATATATATATTTCCCACTTTTATAGGTTGGGATGGTCCGACCCGCTAGGTTTGAATTGTTTTTGGACCTAGTCCGGATTTTAGTGTTTTTCTTTTTCTTTTTTTTTTTTTTTTTTTTTTTTTTTTTAACTAAATTGAGATTGATAAATTCATCAAAAAAATTGTCAAATTTTAGTAGCAGGGTTTATTTTTTTATTTATGATTTAGTCTTTTTTTTTTTTTTTTTCCTTAAAATGTTACTTTGAACATATATATACACACATTCTGTAGTGCTAGCTAACTATACTGCAATTAAGGTGATATTCTAAGCCCCCAATAAGAAGAGAGGCACATATCTCATTACGTTAGTAGCAATGTTTAATTTTTTATTCATGATTTAGACATCTTCTGTCTTTCTTTTTGCTCTTAAAATGTTACTTTAAACATATACACATTATATACCGCAATTAAGGCAATATTCTAAGCCCAATAAAAAGAGAGGCGCATATCTCATTACGTTAGTAGCAGTGTTTAATTTTTATTCATGATTTAGACTTCTTCTTTCTTTCTTTCTTTTTTCTCTTAAAATGTTACTTTAAACATATGCACTTTGTGTAGTGCTGGCTCAAATACGGCAACTAAAATGATAGCCGAAGCCCCCAATAGGAAAAGAGGCGCACATCTCATTACATTAGTTATATACAGAGTATTTCTTTTGATTATATTGTACAGCTCAAGCAAAATACAATTAAGGGCCTTCAATAGGAGAAGAGGTCTCATGTCTCATTATATTAATTTCTTTTAATGAATTAATTATACTTTGTGTATTGTATTAATGATCAGATAAATATAATTAATCTTTTATTGGTCAATGTAATTTTTTTTATATTAATTAATATAAGTGTATATTAATAAATTTTTTATAATTTGTGTACTGTATTAATTACCAAATAAATTCAACTATTCTTTTATTATTCAATACAAGTTTCTTTTATTTAAATCTTATAATACTTCTCTCTTTTCCTTCTGAAAGACTTTATAACAATGTAAAGGGTTCAAGAAAATGCAATTACAAGACATAGATTCAACACTGACTCTCATTTAACTAAGCATTTAATTTTATTTCAAAATAATTCAAACTTAAATTTTTTATTATTTTATAACATGCACTAAAGGAGAAACACTTTAATGTTCTTAATATATTAATTAAACAGCATCTCCAATTTATTAAATACTAATACAATTATATCACCTACTAAATAAATATATATATATATATATATATATATTTTTCTTATGTGGAAGATATAATTGGTGGGTAATGGATATTTCTGAGTGCCCACTGCCCACCCAAATTTGATGACCCGGATTAGGACAACACTAGCACCAAATATTTCTATAAGTAATGAAATGAAAAGTTTGGTTTAAAAAGAGCAAACCAAACCTCGGTGACACGTGGAACAACACCCAATCAAATCAAGATAACGTTATCAAAAAAGCGCTGTGATTGTACACGTGGTGTCTGAGGAATGAGTGGTGAAAATTCCCATTACAAAATACCCCTATATTGGACCATGTGGGACCCAAAGAGATAAAAGCGAAGTGGTGGGGGGCTCTGTGGGGCCCACTTTTGTCATCGAGTGGAAAAGATGTCTGAAAAGACCACATCGTAGTTCTCGTGTCCACATGACCTCCCGAAGGGCCAGCTTGTTGACACATCGTCACTTTGCACCACTTCCCTCAATTTCACCGACTGGTGTCTTTTAAAATAAACACACGCGAGAGTACAAATGAACGACGGTAATTGCGATTTGGCCCATACACGTGTCGTTTTGGATGCATTGGATGGACGGTTGTGCTGAGCTCATGAGTCACGTGATGGACACGTGAGCACGTGAGCTGGATTCAACCACGAAGTTGGTTTCTATACCACCCACGAATGAACGGGACAATGTTAATGTACTGCGTAAGGGAAGCAAATATTTTAGTGTCGAATAATGGTCTGAATTTTGTTGGAATCCTTGCACAAGTGCGATCTTAGCTCATGTCATGCATCATGTGCAATAAATTTTTGATAAACCTATGTTGGAAAAATTATTTTTAGTGGGTTCCGGGAGCGGAGTTAAGATTTAAATTCTGAAGGTGTACAGTGAATTTTTTTTTTTAAAAGAAATTTTAAGAAATAGAAGAAAAAACACAAATAAGAAGAAAAATGAAATAAACGAACTAGAGCATGAATGAATAAACAAAATTTGACTTTTTTAAAAAGGAAATTAAAAAAAATGTAAAGAGTAAATAAGGAGGAAAAGGAAAATTTTAAAAGAATTTTGGAAATTTAGGGAGGCATAATATACAAATATATATATATATATATATATATATGTACAAAAAATTATAAAAAACCATATATATAATATAGGGCGGGGCCAGGCCCCACTTAGGCATATATTGGCGCCGCCCTTGGTCCCACATTGACCCTTTGTCTCCCGATTTGAACCGAATTCGGTTCAATTAACTAGATTCTATCTAGTTGGATGGTGAATTAAAATTCGCATTTAACTCAAACAACTAGACTCTAGTCTAGTTAAATGGAGAATCAAAATTCCCTTCAATGATGATACACAAATCAAAACCCTCGTAATGATTTTCATGGTTGATAGGTTGATTTTTATAATTAAAAATGCATTGTACAACATGATTTATTTGAGAGTAATTTGCTCATTTAAATGTGTCAATGTGATAGTCGGTGCAATTAAGAACACCTATATTTCATATTGAGGTGTCTACTTATAATTAATTTATTGTCCATTTTTATGATTACACCATTAGATACTTACATTATTAATTTCAATTTTTTTTATTTGACTTAATTTTCTAAAAAAAAAAAAAAAAAAAATCCTATTTTCTAATAATTGAAAATTAGAAAGCTTTAAAAAAAAAAAAGAAAAAAGAAAAAAAGAAGCTCTGATTGGTTGATTATATCTAAAAATTGATTCATAAAAACTCAATTAAAAAGAAAATGTATGGGCTGCTTGATTTTTAATTCAAAAACTAATTCTCAACAAGCCAGAGAACAAAAAAATTAAAAATTATAAAAGACGTTATCTAAATTATCTAAAAATAACCTTTTTATAGGAATTAAGTGCGCTTAACACCCTATATTGACCCCCTTACGTGCACAAAACTCCTCCCCAACTTTTAAAATTGTGCAAATAAATTAATAAAATGACCAAATTACCCTTTTATACTCCATTTTCATATTATTTAAAAAAACTGAATTTATGAAATGACCAAATAGGACATAAGCTACATTCCGGCAACCATTCTCTCGTGGCTGGCCTTGGGTGTCGCCTTACCGGTGAGCTCCATTTTCTCGTGAAATTGCGATGGATTTTTTATGTGATCGGACAAACCAGTAGAGAGATAGAGAGGAGAGAGTGTGTTTTGCTCGTGAAAAAGAACAAAAAAAAAAAGACGATCAGTGAGACAACCAATCGTCTTCGGTAATGAACGTGGAGATGATCCATTGGAGGCGGGCTTGATGGTGGCGACTAACGAGGCGTCGATGCCCACGAAGAATCGAGAGGCAGTGTGGTCCCTAAGGTCTTCTTCACCATGGTGATCGGCGGTGCACCGGCCGACCTGATCTTGATGGAGCTGTACGCCGACACCACTCCCCGCACCGCCGAGAACTTTTCGAGCCCTCTGCACCGATGGCGAGTCCATCTACAGCCCCAAGTTCGCCGATTGGAAGGAAAACGGTCCCGTTGTCGGAGTCAAAGACCAGCGATCACTACCGTCTGTGGCCACGCCTCAGCCGTCAGCTACATCCTCACGTCGAGCCACGACTATGTTGTTCCCACCACTGCCGCCACACAGCAAATCCAACTCATGACCTCATCTCACCGTCGTCTGTGGCCGAGCCTCAACCACCGGTGGAGACCTTTGTCGAGTTGTTTCGGTGAGTATTGTAGAGAGATTGAAGGTCTTTGATTGAATCGGTACCCATGGACTCCGAAGCAGCAGAAGACATCCGCTCTCTCTCTCTGCGTGGTGGTGAAGTTGGGAATGCCGACGGTGGTGGTGGCTATGGCCGTTGGCAGTTGCAGTGGTGGTTCTGCAGATTTAGGGTAGGGCATTTTTGGAAGGATAGGGCAAAACGGACATATTACAATTACTTTATGTTTGAGTGGACAATTACTAAACTATACTATAAGAGGAGTGTTAAGTGCACATAGCACAATTTTAAAAATAAAAGGTAAAAGTGGTTCTCAAGGTATACAAGAGGAGTGTTAAGTGCACATACCTTTTGTAATAGTAAAGTTTTTTTTGTACAATTTTTTTTTTCAATTTTTTAAAAATAAAAAATTATTCTCGAAGTTACAAACAAGAACTTGTTTTTAGAGAAATGAACTAAGCTGACCATATAATTTGGTTTGTTTCTTTAAAAAGACCATTGCATTTACTTGGGGAGCAGATATTGGATGTACCTGGCATATCATGTCATAAGTATATCCACCCCATCAAATATAACATATTAAAGCATCTCCCACAACTGTGTATATTTTTTTGTGAAAATCTAATGTGTCATAATAGATTTACACAAAAAATTTGAACTATTTATATTTAGCTCCAACTATTATTTTATATTTTTTTTTGTATAAAAATACAACTGTCAATAACAACCAACCAACCACGTGTCTCCCATAACTGGTACAAACCTACTTAATATAGGGTTGATTCATATAAACCTACTTAATATAGAATTGATTCGTTAATAAAATGAGAAAGATTTGGAATATTTATATTTAGCTCCAACTATTATTTTATACTTTTTGTGTAAAAATGTATCTCTCAATAACAACCAACCAATCACGTATCCCCCATAACGGGTACAAACTTACTTAATATAGGGTTGATTCGTTAATGTAATGAGAATGAGAGAGGAGAAAGAAAATATGTTGATGTGAAAGGTTATATAAAATACATAACAATTTTACACATTTTTGCATCTTAACAAACTGTTTATTTTGCATCTCATTATCCATAATTTTACGAATAAGTTAGACCAATTTTTTTAAAAATAATGCATGGTCATTAATCGGACATTGTAATGACCCCGTATTCAATATCTATTTCTACTCGGGAATCTATGCAGAATATTATAATTTTGAATGAGAGCATATACCACTTGAATTTCTTAACCAGATATTGCCAATTGATTTGAGGAAAGGAAAAAAGTGCCCAACGAACAGGGCCGGGATCAGAGCTAGTGGGCCAATTTCGGCTTCAGACTGACCCAAGAAAGAGGGAATGGAGATGTTTCGGCCAATTTGATAACATATGCGACTTTTGAGGTTGGTGGTTACAAGAATAATACTAGTCCAAGTTTAACTCTCAAATTTCATTTTTTTAAATTTAGAATAATGATTTTCAGATACATGCAACTTCGTCCCCACCCGTGCACGTGGTTATCACAATAATGTAATTATATTACTCTTACCCTTCTTATAATAAATATATGAATCTAAGTTAGCATCTAAGTTAGGAAGGAGAAAACAAGAGAGAATGAATTCAGAAGTGCACGAAAGGACACACATGAATGGGAGCATACACATAATTACAATGAATTACTGACAAAAAAATATCCACTAAAAGGATAAAAAAATAAAAAATTGCACCATATCAGTAATATACTTACCGGTTAAATAGATTAGTAAATTAACTTTATTGCCCATTTTTGATAAATCCGTTATTTCAATAATATACCTTTTTTTTAAAAAAAAATGGATAATAAGATTACGTTATTTAAGGAAAAATAACTGGTAAGAGGGTAAGATGACATTTTCATTATTATTATTATTTCAAGAAATTTCTGCCAAAACCATAATAATGTGCCAGAGAATGGTTATTAGCCGCAAAATAACAAGCTACCAAAATAATTCATTTTGATAATCAAAACTGTTGCACTCTATATCCAACCAAATTTAAGATAGTAATTAGGTTCACTCCAATGAAAAACTAACGTAAGCCAAATCATCACTAGTTCATTGAAGAAGTTGCAGTGTAACACACCCATTTTTCTTCTCCCCCTTCCTCCTTCCTGCAAGAGTTCATGGAAATCATATTTAAAATAAAAAAACATATTTCTGGAAAGTTTAAGAAATAATTAACAAAACTAACAAATTTCAAAAGACAACAATTGTTTCTTCAAAACTGGGAAGCCCAAATTTTGGAACACTGATCTTGATCTGGTGCATGATAAAGGAAAGTGTTAAGTGCAAAAAACCCCATCTACTGTCGAAATAGTGCAAATCAGTCCTTGTGTTACATAAAACCCCCCATATACTATCAATTTGGTGCAATTACCCCTACTCGCATAAAAAGACATTAATACCCTATAATATAAATTTCTGGGTTAAGTGCGAAAAAAGCCCAACTAGGATTTTTAAATTTATTTTATATCGATTTTGACCAAAAAGTGGTCACGGGACTTATTTGCACCTTTTTTTAAAATTTTGATGGACTGAAATACACATTTTCTAAAAGTATGGATTATTTTTGTACAAATCCTATATATCAGGGTTTTTTTTTGCACTTAACCCTAAAGGAAAAGAAGGATGATCATAGAATCTAGCCAGCACCAAGTCAACAAATTCCTTTGAATCAAGAGTGTTGATACAAAAGCCGAATGAAAATCAACCATCATGCCTATAACTGAATTAGCATCACTCAAATTACAATATCACTACCCTTTGTTATGAAAGAAGGCAATTGAGATCGACTGTTCGAAATCTCACTAGCTCTAACTCAACCAATTCCTTGAATCATAATTATCAAGAATATTTATAAGACAATACCGATTCAATAACTATATGATGATCAAACAAACAATCATAACTCCGACTAAATTAACATTAAACCAACCCAACCTATATAAACACTACATTGAGAATGCAAGAGCCGCATAAAGAAAAATAAAATATGAAAATCGTAATTTGGCTCAATACACAATTGTTTCTCTTAAATCATAATTTGGCTCAATACACAATTGTCTCATTTATACATTTATCTTCATTTACCATGTAATAAGGTTGTTGCACAAAAAAACACGACCTGAACAAAAACAAAGCAAAAGTGCCTAAATTAGGCTGGATAGGCTTGGTAGCCATGCAAAACTATAACTTACGGGTCTTCTACAGTCGGTCAGTCGGTAAATAATTGAGTGTGGACGTCACACACTAACTAATACCGTGTGTATAATGTGGGAAATGACAACAACTATGCTAATGAGGGGGGAGCGGGGGGATTGATTAGAAAGGTATTGACAAAAAAGAAAACAGTGCAGACTAATAGAAGGGGGGCGGTACCAACTTATGCTTCCTATGCTTGACAAGTAACAAAGCTAAACAAAGCTAAGTAATCCCAGTCCTACTCTCACAACATGCAGACTAAACCTAAGAATATTTTTGTTACAATCTACGGATTGGTTTAGTTGTTGAATGACATGCAATGGCAATATGTAGCTTTCACTCACTTAACGACTTACATTCTAAACCATTTTACTCAACAAATGGTCTATGGGGTCACCAATGTGAGCTAAAAAAATGAATTAAATGAATGAAAGACGTGGAATATGGTAGTGCCTGCAATTACATGCCATTAGCAATAATTTACGAACCAAAATCTAGGATTGAAAGAGGTTTATTAGAGAGAATAGAATCCTTTATGGTGCACTAGATGGTCCAGTGCATAGGGGAAGGGTGGAGATCATCCCAGTTGGAAAGTGGTCACCGCAAACAAAGTTGACCCCATCCCATATGCATGATTAAAACTATCAATGCTAACTACTACCTCCTCCATCTATACCTAGGAGACTAACTATGGAAACAAGCATAGAGAAAATGAAGGCTAGCTACTAAACCTTACAATTATAATCAGAAGACTTACAAGTGGAAGCATTACAAGCACACAGCCGCATCACCTGATATTAAGAGGCCTATCACGTGCTTTATGGAGAGACCTTCCTGCTGAATTTGAAAAAAAAAAAAAAAATGAAGAACTACTCATCATCACCTGGTATTAAGAGACCTACCATGTGCTTTATGGAGAGACCACCTTCCTGCTGAATTTTAAAAATAAGAAAGTACTACTCAAAAAATATGTGACAGTACTGTTTACAAAAAAAAAGAAAGAGACCCAGTGGAAAATGTTACTAACAAACCTCAGAATATAATAGTATCATGAAATTGAAATGGAAAAATGTTTAACACGCCTATCAGCTTAGCCGACTAAGACACAGTTTTGTGTCCCATGTCAACTAAAATCCCACCATTGACAATATAATTTAGGCAAAAGTGGAGTATAATAAAAAACATGCTCAGTAAACAACACATAGGTTCAACAAGCAATGTGTGTTTGTACTTCATAATGCTGCTTCATCACCATACCACATCAATCACAAAGCACACTTTGAACCAATCACATAACACACGGTACACTACTTTTGTAATGCAAGAAAAATTGACCAAGTCCTTGAACCATGATTACCAAGAGTAACCGGGCTATACCGACTCATAAAGACACGAAATCCACCATCTTAACAGGTTCTGAATTATAGCATGAACCAACTCAACTTATAAATCACTACCCTTGTTATGAAACAAAACAATAAAGCGAACAAGACTCCATTTTGAAGCAATGGACAGTAAATATGGTGTATGTACAAAACTGAAATATGAGAATTAAAATTTAGCTCAGCATAAACAATATTATTACTGAAAATGAAATTTGCATCCTACTCCAGCCCTACAGAATGAAAGAAAACAGGGAGAGAACTTCTGAAAAGACTCGCAATAAATTCAGAAACGCTACACAAACCCGTCTCTATTTCATTTCTGTGTATACCTACCATGGTAGCAGTCACTATAAGTAACTTTGGAATACACTTCACAAAAAAGAAGGAACAAACTTGCACAAAAAAATATGGTTCAAAATATGAAATAAATAGTGAGTGATATAACATGACAGCTTACAAACAGGACATAATTCTAGAAGGCTACAAATAAACCTAAAATGATAATACAAGCTTATGGAAAAGGTAATCCCATGATTTAAAAAAAAGAAAAGAAAAAGAAGTAATATACAGACAAACCTAAGTCCAAAGTGTTGTACACTTGAAAATGAGATCAGATTTACCATTTAGCAAATCTGCACACATAATATTGTTTCTGGTTCTGTACACGTGGGCTACAACCACTACTAAACAAGAATAAGTAATCCAAGTCCTACTCTCAACAATGTGCAGACAAACCTAAGAATTATTTTTGTTCCAATCAATGGATTGGTTTAGTTGTTAAATGACATGCAATTGCAAACATGCAATTGCAAACATGTAGCCTTCATTCATTTAATGCCACACATTCTAACTCAAACTTGAACCTCTAAATAAACCAATTTTATTCAACAAATGGTCTATGGGCTCACAAATTTGAGCTAAAAAATGTATTAAAAGAATGAAAGCCGTGAGCTGGTGGTGTCAGCAATTACAAGCCATTAGCAATTATCCAAGCACCAAAATCCTAACTGTCTAACAACGAGAGAAGGGGGTGTGAGACCTGCCTGTGGCTCAACAAAAAACCCTCCCAAGGTCTATAATCAAGGCAGAAAAGGAGTATAATAGGAAGTGCCGGCCCATACACAAAACCCATTTATTATGAGCTCCGGTAATCGGTGACACATTAGCATCTACATTAATTCTACATATAATGTGTAGAGTATGTAACAAATACAAATAGTGAATGAAATTACGAGAAAATATAAAAGAGTAAACAAACGCTGCACAGACCTGTTAATTTTTGCCTTTTCTAACCATGAATGTCAAATACAACTACCTACCCCTTAAATCAATGGGTAATTATTTAGGAAAACTCTAGAAAAACAAACTGTTACATTCTCTGGTATGAAATATGAATGACATAATGAATAATATAACATGACAGCTTACAAATAAGACACTTATATTAAGATCATTTAATGCCATGCAATGGCAACCATGTAGCCTTCAAATTTGAACCTTTAAATAAACTCGTTTAATTCAACAAATGGTCTATGGGAAAATAAATTTGAGCTACAATAAGGAACTAAATGAATGAAAAACATGTGATCTGGTGGTGGAAGTAATTACATGCCATTAGATAAAATTAATTAACCAAAAACAAAAATCAGAACGGTCTACTAAAGAGAGGGATAACCTGTTATACCAAGAAGGCTTTACAAGGGAAACAAGAATAAAGAAAATGAAGGACAACTAATAAATTTTACAAGCACAAACATTATAAAGCTAACTATCAAGTCCTAGAAAAATATACTAGTAACATTAAATTGAAAAGGAAAATACAAAATGGGCCTATATATCAACATAAACAACCAAGACAGTCCTTAACTGTATTTTTATGTTCTTGTTTACTGAACACATTAGCCCATAACAGTATAAAACAAAACCCAATTGATAAACCACTGCAAACTATCACATTTTTAGGCATATCAGAGTAAAAAAATAACAAATTTCAAAAATTGTACATAAGATAAATTGATCATTGAAAATGGTAAAATACAAGATCAAGAAATAAAGAGAAAAATAAAAAGATATATCAATCAATAACATGAATAAAGATTCTACAAGCAACCAAGACACAAAGATCATCACACTTCCATCAAAACAACTATTTTTTTTTTTTTTTTAATAAATTAAACAAACCAATAAAATTCTAAAAAATAGACCACAAACAATAAGAGAGACTTCTAACAATTTTAATTCATAATACCTCTAATCACACATTTTATATTTACATGTATAGAGATGGATCAGAGTGATGGCTTGGATTCTCGAAGAGAGAACAATAGGCTCAGCAAATTCAACTTCAGTCATCTAGGGTAGATGTCTAAAATTTGTGATAGTCTAATCACCGTCGGATTAGTCAAGAAGTCCAACATTCTTGATTAATAAAATTTCTTGATTGCGGTTCCCAACAACGGGCATGTGTCAAAATTCTAAAGGTTCATAACTTTAAAGAAAAGTGCATTTTAATTCAAATAAAAGGGTTAAATGCAAACCACCCCCACCCCCCCCCCCCCCCAAAAAAAACTATCGGCATATTCCAACCCACCCCCCTGAACTACAAAAAAAAACCCATGAATTATGAATTTGTTGCATTTCAGTCCATTCCGACCCGGAAAAATAAAATGTCTGATTTACCCTAATTAAAACGACGTAGTTTTGAGTGTTTAAGCTAAGTGAATCAAATGACACATATACCCTTACTATTGTCTAGTCCCGGAATAGTGCTCAAGTTGTAACCAAAGGCCAAATATATATGCATGTATCTGTTGTAAAGCCCAAACACAATATCCAGATCCAAAAAATGATATAAAAAAATAAATAAATAAATACAAATCCAAAATCAAGCAAGAGAGGCGGATAAAGCACGGACAGCGGTGAGCTCTGCTGTGGGTGAACTGATAGTGGGCGAAGATGGATCTCTGGCGCAGCTATGGAGGGCTCGGCGGTGAGAGGAACGGCCGGTGAGGATGAATACGGGCTCGGCGGTTTCGGCTTTGGATGATGTCGAGGACTCTGTCGCGATGGAGGGGTCGGCTGTGAAGAGGTCGGCCGACTGAGTAGAGAGTTGAAGCGCAAGGACGGCGGTGGGGAAAGGACGATAGGCACGATCGGCATAGAGGGTCAAATTGCGAAATCTGGATAGAGTAAGTTGGGATTTTCTTGAGAAAAAATTGGATATATTTTCCTTTTTTGCGGGTCAGTTTGTGGGTAAACAGGGATTGGGGGTACGAATCGAGGGATCGAAACAAAGACTTGGAAACTCCGTTCATCGGAGTTTGGAAACTTCGATTTCGCAGGGCGATTCAGTTCATCGGAGTTTGCTACGTCGCCGGCGGAACAGCTTGTGGGTTTGATTTGGTATGGTTTTGTTCGCCGGAAGTTGCAGAGGTGAAACTTCATTGCTATTTGTTGCTGGTTGAAAATTGTAGAGTTCAGTTCATCGGAGTTTGCTACGTCGTCGCCAGCAAACCTGCAATCAAAGACCGAACAACCCCGAAATGTCTTTAGTTAAGATGAACAGAAGTTCCGCTGACAAAGCTATAGTAGCGAAACAATTCGGTAAGAGTGCAATTTCAGCGAAACCCAGAACAACGAGACTGAGACCAGTTCATCGGAGTTTGCTACGTCGTCGCCGGCGAGCCTGCAATCAAAGACCGAACAACCCCGAAATGTCTTAGTTAAGATGAACAGCAGTTCCGGTGACAGAGCTATAGTAGCAAAACAATCCGGCAAGAGTGCAATTTCAGCGAAACCCAGAACAACGAGACTGAGACCAGTTCATCTGAGTTGCTCTATTCATCTTCTTCCAGTAAGCTTGGTCTGACCTAACAGTGAGTTCTGGTCCGCCAGCCGAACTCTTTGTTCGGCTTACTACTCCTTTCTCTCTCGAGTCTTTACCCCTTTGTCTATAGTCCAATATGATGAGCGCTGAAAAGTTCATATTTAAACCCCTTAAGTTTAGGCATTCTAGTACCTTTATTTATCTTACTTTACCGTTTTAGATTGATTTCGTATTATTTCCATTTTCAGGCACTTATCCCGAAAATAAGCTAACTCAGCCAAATAAGAGCTTAATTGAAGCAATTCTGGGATTAAACAAATAAATGAGCAAAGTGGAGAAAGAAGGAAGCAAATGAAGCCAAATGTGGGAAGCAGCAAAGTTCGATCGATCCAACTTCAAGGTTCGATCGATCGAACACTGATCGATCTCAGCACTGCAAGATGGATCCAAGCCTTGACCCAAAAGCATAAAGTCCAAAAGTTCGATCGATCCAACACCACCCTTCGATCGATCGATCGATCGAACACTTTTGTCCTTATTCAAATGATTGATCATATCCACAGCTGTACCACCCACTAACCACTTTTGTCCTTTTCCCAAAAATATCTTCCAAAATATCTCGGATTTGTCTTTTCCCAAAAAGCTTAACCAGTTGGATCGATCCAACCTAAGTTCGATGGATCTCAGCTAGTTCGATCGATCCAAGTCCAAGGTTCGATCGATCGAACTTCCTCCAGTGCGAAAAAGTTAAATTTCCATCTCATTGAAAGTTGTCCTTTATCCAATCATTAGGGAATATTGTGTGCACGACCGCAGCTCATTTTGGGTGTCATTTGACCTACCTATATAAGGATAAGGATTGCTTTTTACAAGGGAGCTAATATCATTTTCATATCATCTCTTGGAGAGCAAGCTTAGAGGAAGAGGAGGCTAGAGACACCATTAGAGTTCTTCATCAATAAAGAGTAGATTTCTTCCATGGAGTTAGCCCTTGAGGGTTGGAGCAACATTACCATGAGTGGCTAGACATCCTCTTGGGGCTAGAGTTAGCCCCAAGCATGCTTTCTATATCTTAATCTTGTGTATTATTGAGGAATTAGTGTTGTAATTGATGTTTTGACACTTTGATATATATAGATCTTGTTTATTCAATGATTTATGTGGTTTAATGCTTCCAATTGATCATTTCATTCTATCCATATGTCTATGTATGCTAGGATAGATGTTCATGTACTTGTCTCTAGATTTTGTGTTATTGATGCATGTTTATGTGTATTGATGCTATAGATTTGGAGATTGTCAAAACATAATACTTAAAGGAATGCTCTTGTGATTCTCTTGATGGTTTATACTTATTCCTTGATGGATTGTGCCTCTCCCCTAGTTTATTTTCATGCTAGTAGTGTAGATGTAATGTAGTTGTAGTGTAGTATTAAATGGGAGGGCAATCCATGCTTCTTGTTTGATGATCCAAGCTTTTGAATGCAAGTAGCATATGTCTCTATCCTTGTGTTGTATTTGAATTGTGAGCTTAATGAAAAGATTAATGACTTATTTTGATCTATTGTGCCTTTCACATGTTGTTTAGACAATATATGCTTCATTGCTTAGATATATTGTGCCTTTCACATGATGTTTAGACAATACATGTTTAACTAGTCATCCTTACTTGTTGAATCAACCAAACACACACACACACACCAATATTGCAACACACCATTTGCCCTCATTAGTCACTTGTCAATGGTATAGAAGTGCATTGCTTGGTGGTGATCTCTAAACCCCAAGATCTCTCTCTCTATTACTTACTCTTAATTGCATTCTTTTGTTATCACTTAGTTTAATTTAGTTATTCTCTAATCAACCAACTAACCAATTGTTTGATCACTTGACCTACTAGCCCTAATAACGATTCCACGACATTGCTCGATCCTCACAATCCCTTGGGACGATCCCTACTCGCCCTACCTATATTTTTAATGAAGGTAGTAGTGGCTTCTATAAATGTAAAACTCTTGACCCTCGCCTTAAAATGCACTCTCTCTCTTAAGCTTGACGGTAGTGCGACACACCGCATCACTATATACATACAGCGACCTACCCATCGCCGCCGTCTATTCACTTTGGATGTGCTCGGGATGGCGACGCTGTACTGTAGCTACCCACCCACCACAGTTGTCAATTTGGGAATGGAGAGAGAAGCCAAGAGTATTGTTCTGACCGACGAATATATTTATGAATGTGCTGGGGAAGACTAAGTTGTACGGCGGCGACTGCTGGCGACTATGCAATGTTTTTTTCTCCGGCTATTTTTATTATTTATTTTTTTATTATATTTATGAATGTGCTGGGGAAGACTACGTTGTACGGCGGCAACTGCTGGCGACTATGCAATGTTTTTTTCTCCGGCTGTTTTTTTTATTTATTTTTTGTATTCTCACATTTTTTGTTAATATAATTATTTTTAAAAATCATGTGGAGGGTGCTCTACGGTGAGAGGAACAGCAGGCGAGGTTGGAACTGAATGGCAGTGCTTGGAATGGTGAACTGAACTGATAATGATGGTTATATCCGACAAGCAGAGAGCTCGACTATGATCATTGCTGGGTTTGATCATTGTTACTGCAGGGACGAGTTTGATGGAGACGAAGGGTGTGTTTGGTTGTCCCATTTATAGGCTCAAGTAGGACTTTTTGGTTATAACGATAACAAGGGCATTTTTGTCCTTTTATGTGAATAAGGGCATTTTTGTCCTTTATTTTAAGCATCTACATCACGTGATGGCACATGCCATCAAAACCTGCCGAATTCCCGCCAGATGGAGTCGTCTGCAGCAAAATTGAATAGTCCAGGGGTTAGTTAAAACTTTTGTAGTTTAAGGGTTAGTTGCTGATATGCCGATAGTTCAGGGAGATTTTTTTGCATTTAACCCTAATTAAAATTTGAATTAATTTCCATATAAAAAGAAATAAATCTTTTATTTATAGAAGAATTGAACGATTGGGAGTTTCCAAATCAACCGACCCATTCTTTGGCCTAAAAATACAAGGCCAACTTACACATTTGGGGAAAATACACAGACACGGAGAGATTAACTAAGTATCAAAGCTCTGACTCAACAAAAACCCCGAAGTTTTGAAGAAAAAGAACAACAAGCGTGTCACACCTACGCCGTTCTTCATCAAAGGCCTTCACTCACCGTTTGAGATCAAGCCCTGCCGGCACTTGTTCGAAGATCCATTTGAGCCTTCGTCAATTTTGAATAACTCAAAAAAAAAATGTTCAACCACCGGTTCAAGATCAGGCTTCCGATGCCCTTGAACCGATTTCCTAAGGAAATTTAATTAAAGGGTGATTCTAGACTATAGAATCGCCAACAAATGATTGTACCCATTTTTCCCGATATTTAATAAAATTGTTATTTGTTGCATTTATTTTCGTCCATAAATTTTCAGATATAAATACAAATTTCAGACATACCCGGTCGGAAAGAAATTTGTAACACAAATTTTTGTATCCTGAAATCCAAGAAAATAAATCTAGCCAATGATAATTTTATTAATATAAAAAAAAAAAATGAGTACAATCCTTTGAACCGATGGTTGAACTTTGTTTGAGTTCTTCAAAGTTGAAGAAGGCTTAAATGCATCTTCGAACGAGGGCCGACGGGGCTTGATCTCAAATGGTAAATGAAGACTTTAGATGAAGAACGGCGTAAATGTGGCACGCTTGTTCTTTTTTCTTCTTCGGAGTTTTTGTTGAGTGAGAACTTTGGCAAAGCTTCGATGTTTTGTTCGTCTCTCTCTGAAATGTGTAGGGTAGCCTTGTATTTATAGACCAAAAGTAAGGCGTTTGATTTGGAAACTCCCAATCATTGTGCAAATTTTCCATAAATAAAAGATTTGTTACCTTTTATATGAAAATAAATTAAAATTTAAATATTAATTTATTAGAACTTAAATGCACTTTTTTTAAGGTACTTTAAGATTTTGACACGTGTCTACTGATGGAACTCGCAATCAAGAAATTTGATTAATCAAAAATGTTCGACTTCTTAACTAAGTGATTAGACCATCACAAATTTTAGACATCTACAAATTGCAACCACTTCCAGATTTTGGCAACCTACATGCTTGTCTTGCATGGGAACGCGAGTTTTGAAGTGGACAACTTGATAAATTTTTATATTTAATTTTTTTTTTTTGGCAATTTTTTTTTTTTACAGTTCAGAGTCTACATCCTATATTTATATATATATATATATAAGGTTGTTATGCCATTATCATGGAAAGTTGAATTTACCTTGATTAGCTCAACAAAAGAGGCGCACGATACATTCTTTACTCTCTTATTGTCCTGATCAAAGTCGGCCGCACATTACCAAAACTGGGTCAAAACTTGGATAGGTAAAACTCCACCAATGTTGGTATTTTGACCAAAATTTATAATCATCATTTCCAACGCTATCACTATAAATAACAAAAAAACATGGTATGAAGTATGAATCACTATAAAGAGTAATGATATACATGGTATGATGATATAAAGGTAGAGTCGGGCTTATGCCTCTAGTTAAAATCTCATAAAGACGTGATAAAATCCACAATCATGCCTCTTGTCGCATTATATACCAACTTGACTTATATATCACTACTCTTGTTATGAAACAAGACAATTAAGGAAACAAAACTCCATTCTCTAGCAATAAACAGTAAATATGAGATTAAAATTTAGTTCAACATAAACAATATAATTACTGAAAATGAAATTTAGATCCTCTAACAATCCTTCCAAATGATAATTACATTTACACAAGGTTGAAAGAATTAAAACAGGCAAAAAAAGAAAAAGAAAAGAAACAAAGATTTCATGCTTGAGCGGGAAAAGTAAGTAAACTTCGTTAATAATCAATCCAAGAAAACATTTACCTGAATGAAAAACAATCCATTAATATAAAAAAAATATTTTCATTCCCAATGCTTGTGAAGTCTAAATTGAATACTATGGAAGAAAACATGCCCATCAACGCAACACAATTAACATTTCCACAACCAAACCTTACACACTAATCTAATACTTCAAGGAACCAAAGGCTATGTGCCAAGGGTAATTCCTCACCTTCAAAAGTAGAAATCATAGGGTTCAAGATTCCGTAGAGACAAGTGGATGAGTGAGTGTGTTTCTTGCCAATGAAAAAAATAAATAAATATTAACTAGCAAATGAAATTTTTTTTTTTCATTGACAACAAACACACTCACACTCACATACCCCAACGGAGACATCAATGAAAATAAGGGAAGACAAAAATGTATGTGAAGCATTTGAAATGAATAAACAATGCACACCCAATTGTGTCTACTCCATAACAATTACATCATATTAAATTTAGCCTTTTTTCTACAAAGAATTATAATCCAACTACTTATACCTAGAATCACTATTACTGAAGGTCGTCGTGACTTTGTGAAAGAGATGATACAAGCTAGTATATTTCATTTTTGGTATCCAAAATCAAGATAGTAAAGTATGAACACTACCTACTTTTTGAATCAATTATAAAACTTTCAAAATAAGCATAATAAAAAAAATAAACATGGAAGTCAGTTAACAATAAATTTAAAGAGAACGAATATTAACAATAAATATAAAGAAAACGAATATAAGAGGGAAAAGAACTATAGAATTTTTTTAACTAACACAGAATGCATAACGGGTTACAAATAGGAAATAGACAAATTAATTTAAATTGCTAAACTAAGCTTTTGTACTTGGTCAAAATTGAGATGTCAGAACATGCAGAAAGGTAAAATCGAACAATTGAATATCAGATTAAATTAATCATTTAACAAAACCAAATATATCATATAGTTTTTTATTCTGTACACATGCACTACAACTACAACAATTAACAAAGCTAATGTATTTCCTATTATGAAAAGCATCAAAGTCCTACTCTCACTATTTACAGTCTGAACCTAAGAATGAATTCTTTGTTACAATCTATAGATTGATTTAGTTCTTGAATGAAAGGCAATAGGAAATAGCATAAATGTATAAGCCTCATTCATTCAATGAATTATATTCCAACTCAAATTTAAACCTTCAAATAAACACATTAAATGGGTAAATAATCAATAAATAATTTTGACTAGTTCTTTAATTAGATAGCATTGCTTTGTAGGATGAATCAATTATATGAGTTATTTCTATTACCAAACAAGTCACAAAGATGGCTCAGAGTCCTGGCTTGAATTCTCAAAAAGAGAACAATAAAAAGAGCCCAGTAATTTAACTAATTACAGCTTCAATCATCTGGGGAAATAATCTCTACCAAATCATATAATTTGATTCTCAGAAAACAAAGCAACAACAAGAAGAATTGAAGTTATGTTTGTATGTGTGTGTGTCCAGATCTGCTTTTTATAGGCTCAACCAAGAGCCCAAAAAGAATATAAAAGGATGTAGCTTCGACAAACACATAAACCCATTTATTATGAGCACCAGTAATCAGTAATCAACATATATAGATTCTACATACAATATACAGTGTGTGTGTGTAACTGACAGCTCTTGATGTTCCCAGAAAGAGAGCTGACTGCGAGTTGTTAAGAGTTCACTTAGTTTTATTATTTTATATATGACGTAGGGCTTGGAAACCCTAATTTGGGTTTCATCAGATCCACCTGTACGGTAAAGATTATGTAGATTATGTTACCAAGGACTGTTTATATCATGTGATGGCACAGAACTACATAACTTGGTTCTACTTGGTCTCAACAAAACTGTAGGAGAAATTTATTAATTTAATATTAATAGTTAAATTTTTTTTTTTTTCTTCCAGAAAATCAATTTTATTACTTATTATAGGAAAGGAAAAATGTGTGTAAAAAGACTAAAATATTCCAATGGATAAAACTAAATTAGATGGAAAATTTTAGTTTTTTATCTGATTCATTTTTTTATTTGAATTAGCTTTTTTTTAAGACAAATATTTACATAAAGTATAAAACATCTTATACTTTTGTCTTCATCAAGTAATCTTATACAAAATAATGAAATCTAATTACAAATAATATATTACATTTTTATCATGCATGTTTAATTTGTCTTTGGGGCAAAAGTTTACATTGGTTCATCTATAGATGTATACTCTCCTACCCAGAAGAAAAATCGTTAGTGCGAGTTATTTGCATACTTAAGATTATTTACGATAAAATAGGCATGGGTTCTATTTTTTTTTTTCCTATCTTTATCACTCCAAGGTATTACATTTTATTATTTTTATAAGTCCCCTCCCCTCCTCGTTGAGGATGGAGAGGTTATATCTCATTGAGCTAAATGTGTTATTTTTAGATAAACATAGTTGTAAATTTCACCTAATGTGCATATACATAAATGAGGATGTAGAAGGCAAAATTGTACACCAGAAAATGAGATCGCATTTACCATTTAACAAATCTGCACATATCATATAGTTTGGTAATTCTGTACACATGGGCTAAAACTACCACACTATAACAAAGTTAAGTAACAGTCCAAGTCCTACTCACAACATGCGGACCAAACCTAAAAATGTTTTTTTTCCAATCAATAGATTGGTTTAGTTGTTGAATGACATGCAATGGTAACACATAGCTTTCATTCATTTAATGACACACTTTCCAACTCAATGTTTATCGTTTAAATAAACTCATTTTACTCCACAAATGGACTATGAGAACACAAATGTGAGCTAAAAAAATGAATTAAATGAATGAAAGATGAGGGAATGGTGGTGTTTGCAATTACATGCCATTAGTAATAATTAGATGGTCTAGTGCATAGGGGAAGGTCGGAGATCATCCCACTTGGGAAGTGGTCACCGCAAACAAAGTTGACCTCATCCCATTTGAAGTGATCTCCACACTCCCCTGTTCTGTACAATAAAAACTATCAATTCTAACTGCTACCTCCTACTTCCATACCTAGGAGACTAGGGAAACAAGTATTAGAGAAAATGAAGGCTAGCTACTAAACCTGACAATTATAATTAGAAGACTTACAAGTGAAAGCATTACAAGCACACAGTCGCATCACGTGCTTTATGGAGAGACCTTCCAGCTGAATTTTAAAAACAAAAAAGTACTCCGCCTAAAATATGTGACAGTATTGTTTAGAAAAAAATTAAAAAGATCCGCGGAAAATGTTACAATAGCAAACCTCAAATTATAATAGTAACATGAAATTGAAAAGGAAAATGTTTCACAGGCCTATCAGCCTAGCCAACCGGAAAAGAGTCTTGTGTCCCGTCAGTCCGTTAAGCACGACCCAATTAACAAAATATTTCAACCTACTCACATAATTTTGTTACACATATCAAAGGATTTTTGTAAAAAAATTTAAAAACAGGCACAGAGAAAGATAAAAAGAATAGATTTTATATGATGTATAGAGATGGATCAGAGTCCTGGCTTGGATTCTCAAAAAGAGAACAATAAAAAGCGCTCAGTAATTTCAGCTTCGATCATCTGGGGAAATGATCATCACTTCCATTTCTATCATTTCATATAACTTCATTCTTAGAAAAACAAAGCAAAAAGAATAATTGAAGTTAAATAAAATATATGACTTTCCCCGGATCTGCTTGTAATAGGTTCAGTCAAGAGCCCTCTAAATATCTATAATTTAGGCAGAAGTGGAGTATAGTAAATAACATGCAAATTTGGCTCAATAAACAAAGCATAGATTCAAGAAACAATGTGTTTGTACCTCATAATGCCGCTTGTAAATCTTTACACCAATCACAAAGCATGCTTAGAACCGATCACATAACACATTGTACACTACTTTTTTAATGCAAGAAAAATTGAGACTAGTGTGAATCACACACTAGCACCTCACCATACCAAGCATATGCTTACACACCATGCATTACTTTTTTCTTTTAAAATGCAAGAAAATAATCTACTTGGCAGAATGGAGTATAAATCTACTTGGTAGAATGTTGTTCAAGTGTGTTGACCAAGTCCATGAACCATGATTACCAAGAGTAATGATGTTGACCAAGTCCGTGAACCATGATTACCAAGAGTAATGATACACAAGCGGAGTCAGCTTATACCGACCCATAAAGACGCGATGAAATCCACACTGGTGCTGAATTAGAATAAACCAACTCAACTAATATTTCACTACCTTGTTATGAAACAAGACTCCATTTTGAAGCAATGGACAGTAAATATTTAGTGCTAGTAGAAAACTAAAATATGAAAATTAAAATTTAGCTCAGCATAAACAATATAATTACTGAAAATGAAATTTGCATCCTCCTACGGTCCTACAGAAAGAAAGAAAACAGGGGGTGTGGGGGTGGGGGGAAGGGGGATTCTTAAAAGACCGGCAAGAAATTCACAATGAACATTTGGTCAACCAATCCTCCAACAAATAATTTAATAATTTAAAGGATAAATATCATCTAGTAAATGCAAATGCAAGAAGAGATAAGAATTTATGCGAAGCATTTGAAAAGAGTAAAAACACTGCACACCCACTTGCGTCAACTCCTTAACAAATCCTCATATACAATTTTAGCCTTTTCTACACATGAATTACAAATGCAACTACTTATGCCTTAAATCAAAGTTGTTTAAAGGACAACCATGACCTTGTGAAAGAAAAAATCAAGCTACTGTATTTCATTTCTCTCATCCAATATTAGAGGAAATGTATTTCCTTTCTCTTATCCAACAAGAAGTGATCTTTGCCCCTCTAATATGCATAGCAGAAGCCATCAATGCTCGTAGACAAAGCATATCTTTCATTGACGGGTACAAGTAATTCTATATGCCACCTCTTATAGCTATAATTCTTGAACGCGTGCTAGGGAAACAAGAATAGAGAATATAAAGGCCAACTATTAAATCTTACAGCAGCACAAAGACTTCAAAGTCTAACTACCATGACCTAAACATATACTCCCACTTCTCATATTAGTTGTTCCTATTTCCTATTTATACATTTTTAAAGGGTCATGGAAATGCATTGTCCCCTTCTAAAATTACCAAATAATTTATTTTTGTATAATAATAAGTTGGTCTCAAAACTTAAGAAGGGTAATTGTGGAAAGATACCAACTCAAATGGGGCAACTAATTTTGGACATGTCAAATAAAGAAAGAGGTACCACTAATACGGGACAAGGGTAATAATAGTCTGAATAATGTTTCATAAGACAAATAGACTAGCACTGTATGACATTTCTTTGACAGACCTACCATTGTAGCAATCTCTAGAAGTCCCATTGGAATAAACTTCACAAAATATAAGGAATAAACCTACAAAAAAAACATGGTATGAAATATGAATTAAATAGTGAATGATATAACATGACTTGCAAACAGGACATAATTATAGAAGGCCACAAATTAACTTAATATGCTAATTCGTATAGTAAGCCAAAATTAGGTGTTGGACTTTGTTGGACTTAGCTCTTAAGTAAAAAGCAAATACCATGACTTAAAAAACAAAAAAACAAAACAAAAAAAGTAATATTCTCATAAAAGTAGGTAAAATTGTCGAGATTAGATTTACCGTTGTACATGGGAAACAACTACCACTATAAATAAGAATAAGTAATCCAAGTCCAACTCTCAACAATGTGCAGATAAACCACAAAAATCATTTTTGTCCCAATCAATGGATTGGTTTAGTTGTTAAATGACATGCAATTTAAAACATGTAGCCTTCATTCATTTAATACAACACATTCTAACTCAAAGTTGAACCTTTAAATAAAATCATTTTATTCAACAAATTTGAGCTAAAAAACATATTAAAAGAATAAAAGACATGTGAGATGGTGCCAGTAATTACAAGACATTAGCAATTATCCAAAGGGTCGTGATATTCAGGCAGAACAGTCTGACCTACTTGCTAGGCAAAATACATGTGGCCGTCCAGTTGGCAAAAAATTAATCCAATTTGGCATCAACATCTCACATGTTGTCTATTCATCTTCTCTCCTCGGAACAAACTGATATGAAGATCGACGGTCACCGACACCCAACATCGTCAATCTCGACGTCATCTTCATCGTCATTTTGCCGGCTCAACACACTGTCACAACCATCACCGAACTCCAGCAACGCTCCAGCAACCATCACCCAACATCCTAAAGTGGAGAAAAACACCAGTTTTTTGCAATTGCACGGCAGGCAGTAAGGACTGAAGACTTCAGGTACGGCGTATCACGCCGATTCCGCCTATCTGTCCTCCAAGTCTACAGTTTCTCCTTGCACGCCTATCCAACCTGAGCCGCGGTGGTGGACAGCGGTGAATGCCGGGACTGTCGACGGTGGACGGAACGGTGGTGGGTTACTATTTAGGTTTCTTTCCAATTTTAGGAGATATAATTTATGTTTTATTAGTTTCCAAAGGTTTACTAGTGTTCTTTCATGTATTTAAGTATATATAAATAGGTAAGAAGTAAGAGACAGAGACAGGAAGTGCTCTTTTTTTTTTTTTTTTTTTTTTTTGCCAACTAGATGCCACCGAGGATTCTGCCTAACAAATCTGCCAAATCCATCGGCATAAATATCATTTTCCTTATCCAAAAACCAAAATCCTAACTGTCTATTAAAGAGAGAGGGGGTGTGAGCCCCATCACAACTGATGGGGCCTACACGCCCCCTCTCTTTAGCAAACCATTCGGATGCCAGTACACGCCATTTTTTTATGAGAAGATGGAATTATGTTAATTACAGATAATAGAATCTTGTGGAAGGGTGGACACAACGCCTAGGGTGTTGTAACCACATGCAGAGTTGACCACACCGCAAATGAAGTTATCTACACAATCCCATGTAATCTAATGGTAAAAGCAACCATAGCGTCGTAGTAGAAGCATATTTACCACACATAGGGTACTCAGCTATACCTAGAAGGCTTACTAGGGAAACAAGTGTAAAGAAAATGAAGGCCTACTTACAAATCTTACAAGCACAAAAACTATGAAATTTACATTTATAGAAATTGATAAGATTCCTAGATTGTATACAAGTATTTTGGGACAAAGGGAGTACTAATTAGAGCAATTCTAGAGGGAACTGGCACCACATATGTCCTTTGCCAAACCAATTCGATCACCTTATCATCCTCCCAAACGTCAAATACATTTTTTATATAAAATACATTTAAAGAATTAAAGGGGATCCAAAAGAAATGGATAAAAAAAAAAAAAAATTAAAAAAAAAAAAAAAAAAAGTAACAGCCTTTTGAAAAGAATAGTGGCAAATTTCTAGCTTGAGATGGACTTTAAAACTTCAAACCACCAATCCAAGAAAACACTACGTGAATAAAAAATACAACCATTTGACAAGTCTGAACACTATCAAAGAAAACATGCCCATCAACATAACACAAAGAAACAATTCCACAACTAATTCTTCAACCCATCTCAAATGCTATGCAGCCAAAAGGTAATCCTCAAAATATTTTTTTCATTAACAAAAAACACTATCCCACACTCACAAGACCCTACAAAGACAAAAATGTATGTGAAGAATATGAAATGAGTAAACATTGCACACACACTTGTGTCTACTTCTTAACAAATCCTTAAATGTATGCGAAGAATATGAAATGAGTAAACATTGCACACACACTTGTGTCTACTTCTTAACAAATCCTTATTCAATTTGACAGTTTCAACAATTTTTTTTAATAATACTTATACCAATAATCCCTATTAATTGGCAAAACCCAAGAAAAAACAAACCATACGTTGTAAGAAGTGGCATGCCCTTGTGAAAGAGTTGATACAAGCATTGGTGTCGGACTTTATTATCTTGATTCTGAATAAAAGAAATGAAATACAGTAAATTGTATCAACTCTTTCACAAGATCATGCCACACCTTAAGGGATCAATGTGTGTCCCATGTTAAACCATCTAACACTACATACATCTTTAAAATAATAACAAAAAATAAACATGTACAAATAAGTATTGAGAACAAAGAGCAATAGAAAATTTTAAGCTTAAGATGGCATGCAAAAGCATTAATGATATATGAAAGAACTAAAGATGTTATGAAAAAGGTTACAACCATAATATTTTCCAAAAAGGATACATATTAATTTAAATTGCTAGTATAAGCTGGGGCACATGGTCAAAAATTGAGATCGACAAAAAGCCTAAATGTAAAATCAAAAATTCAAATAAGGGATTGAATTTACTTTTTTTAAAAACAATATACATCATACAGTTTTTAATTCTTTACACACAGGCTACAACTGTAATCCTAAACAAAGATATTGTATTTCACATGCTTACCCCAGTAGGTTACTCAAAAAATTTAGTACTAAACCTAAGAATTACTTTTCTTACAATCAAATGGATAGATTTAGCTGTTAAATAACATGCAATGGCAAACATGTAGGACTAGATGCTTCACTCGTTTAAACAAACTAATTTTATGAAAATTTAAACAAACGCAAAGTACATTAGATAAACGAAAGTAATTGTGTTAAAAACAAATACACAACAGAACTGTTATATCCAAAGCAAAACCTCAATAGCAATATCTAAACAGAGTTTAAAACAAACATTTGATGGTTTAACATTGTACAAACTTTGATACCTTAAATGTAGAATCACATGATAAACACTAATGGTTGAAAAGGAGTAGGTTTAGATTCTTCACAAACACCATAATTTAAATATAGAATTACATGACAAATTATATATCATTTTCCTTGCATAAAATTAGCAATTATTTCAAAAAGTTGCTAACTTCAACATTGTTCAAAAGGTAATAAAAACCAAATTTCAAAGCATAACATAGTTTAACAAGAAACAATAACATTGAACATATTCCTGTAACCAAAAGACATAAAAGATGAAATAGAGTGCTGGCTTGGAATAGAGTGCTGGCTTGAGAACAACAAAAAGAGCTCAGTAATTTCAGAGTTGATCATCTGGGGAAATAATCACTTCCATCAAAACAAATGGGCAAATAACATAAGATAAAAGTCATAGTTGAACTACAATTACATAAACTGTCATTTACAAAGCAAAACCTCAATACCAACTTCTACAGAGAGTTTTAAACAACCATTTGATGGTTTAACATGGGACACCTTGATAACTTAAATATAAAATCACATGATAAACCACATAATGGTTGAAAAGGTGCAGGTTTAGATTTTTCACATGCACCATAAATTAAAAATAGAATTGCATGACGAACCAAAAATAAGAATATTATTTCTTTAATAAATTATATATCATTTTCCCTGCATACAATTAGAAATTATTTCAAAATGATGAAAGGTAATAAAAACCAAATTTCAAAGAATTACATTGTTTTCTAAGAAGAATCAATTACATCAAGTTATTTCTGTAACCAAAAGTCATAAAGATGGATCAGAGTCCTGGCTTGGATTCTCAAAAAGAGAACAACAAAAGCGCTCAGTAATTTCAGAGTCGATCATCTGGGGAAATAATCATCACTTCCATCAAAACGACTTTCTTGTTTTTCAACTTCAAAGCAATAAATAAATAAAAAAAGGCCTAAGATAAATGAATTCAAAAATTTTAATTTATAATACTTCAAATCACATTTCTTTATGACGTGCGTAGAGATGGATCAGAGTCCTGGCTTGGATTCTCAAAATGAGAACAATAAAAAGCGCTCAGTAATTTCAACTTCGATCATCTGGGGAAAAAATCATCATTTCCAATCTCTATGATTTCACATAATTCAATTCTCAAAAACTTGCGTAAAAGAAAATATGTAAATTTCTACAAACCTGATTGTAATAGGATCAAAAAGAACATCATCCCAAGGTATAATCAAGGCAGAAACAGAATATAAAAAGATGTCTCATAAACAGAACCCAGAACCCATTTCTTACCAGTTGGTTTAACATGGGACACTTTGATACCTTAAATATAAAATCACATGATAAGGTGTAGGTTTAGATTCTTCACATACACCATAAATTAAGAGTAGAATTATATATCATTTTCCCTGCATACAATTAGAAATTATTTCAAAATGATGGAAGGTAATAAAAAACAAATTTCAAAGCATTACATTATTTTCTGAGAAGAATCAATTACATTTGAGTTATTTCTGTAACCAAAAGTCATAAAGATGGATCAGAGTCCTGGCTTGGATTCTCAAAAAGAGAACAAAAAGCGCTCAGTAATTTCAGAGTCGATCATCTGGGGAAATAATCATCACTTCCATCAAAACAACTTTCTTGTTTTTCATCTTCAACTTTCTTGTAATTTTATATTCGTGTTGACTAGGCCCATTAGCCATTAAAAGTATAAAACACAACCCAATTGACTAACTACTGCAAACTAGTCACATTGTTAGGCGCATCAGAGACATTCTATACCTAGAATGATTTACAAGGGAAATAAGAATAAAGAAAATGAAGGCTAACTAATAAATTTTAAAAGCACAAACATATATAACGGGCATACCAACCTAGCCAGCCAAGAGTGGATGTGTGAGTGTATTTCTTGCCAATGAAAAAAAAGATCTACTAATTCAAAAAAATCAACTAGTAAATGAAATTCTATTTTTTCATTGACAACAAACGCACTCACACTCACAAACCACCCCAACGGAGACAATTGGGTATGTGGGTATGTTTCTTGTCAATGGAAAAAAAATATACATAGTAAATGAAATTCTATTTTTTCATTGACAAAAAAACACTCACACACTCACAAATAACCCCAACAGAGACAAGTGCATGTGGATGTGCATGTGTGTTTCTTGTCAATGGAAAAAAAATAATTCAAGAAATAAATATAACTAATATATGAAATTCTTTTTTTTCATTGACAACAAACACTCATATCCCCCAACAGAGACATATACTAGAATCAATATTAATAAATAAATAAAAACTTACAAAGAATTTTACTCCACTTTGTGTCTAACAAATCCTCATAATCAATAATTGCCTTTTTCTACTAAGAATTTTAATCCAACTATTTATCCCTAGAATCACTATTAATTAGAAAAACTCAAGAAATTACTAACCCTTTGCTGTAATGTCCACCATGACCTTGTGAAGTGTTGATACAAGAACAGTCTTTCATTTCTCCTATCCAAAATCGAGATAATAAAGTTTGAACACTACCTACACTTTACAGCAATCATAAAACTTAAAAATAAGCTAAACATAAAATAAACATGGAAGGCCAATAAAATTACGGAAAACCAGTATAGAATGGAAAAGAACAATAGAAATTTTTTAATTCCATGGTATGCTCAAGTATAAATGAAATAATGACATGATTAAAAAGGGGCATACAGAACATAGTACAAATTATTTTGTAATGGACCTGTTCCGTGATTAAGTAGGACTGGTTACACATAGAACATGTACAAAAGTGTAATTTAATTGGATAATCTAAGCCCCTGGGACTTGGTCAAAATTGGGATGTCATAACTTCTAAAAAGGTAAAATCGAACAAATGAATATGAGACTGCATTTATCATTTAACAAATCCACATATATCATATAGTTTTTAATTCTGTACATGAGAACTAGAACTACAACACTTAACAATGTATTTCACATGATTATTGAGTGATAGGCATCAAAGTCCTACTCTCACAATTTACAGCCTAAAGCCTCAACCTAAGAATGAATTATTTTTGTTACAATGAATAAATTAATTTAGTTGTTAAGTGAAAGGCAATAGGCAATAGCATAAATGGGTAGGCCTCATTCATTCAATGAATTACATTCGAACTTAAATTGAAACCTTTAAATAAACTCGTGAAATGAGCAAATAATCAAGAAACAATTTGAGAAGTACATCATAGGATAAACCAATTACACGAGTTATTTATGTAACCAAACAAGTCACAAGAAGGATGGATCAGAGTCCTGGCTTGAATTCTTAAAAAGAGAACAATAGAAAGCGCTCAGTAATTTCAGAATCGATCATCTGGGGAAATAATCATCACTTCCATAACAACTATTGTGTTTTTCAACTTCAAGTGTTCAACGAATCAAAACAAAATAAAAACAAACCAAGAAGAGTAATATAAATTTATAATTTTAATTTACAATATATATATAGAGAGATGGATCAGAATCCTGGCTTGGATTCTCAAAAAGAGAACAACAAAAAGCGCTCAGTAATTTCAATTTCGATCATCTGGGGAAATAATCATCACTTCCAATCTCTATCATATCATATAATTTGATTCACAGAAAACAAAACAACAAGAAGTAGAATTGAAGTTATATATATATATATATATATATATATATGAATTTCTCCAGATCTGCTTGTAATAGGCTCAACTAACAGCCTTCCGAAGGTTTATAATTAGGGCAGAAAAGGAGTATAAAAAGATGTAGCGTCGGCTCATACACAGAACCCATTTATTATGAGCACCGGTAATCAGTAATCGACGCATATAGATTCTATATACAGTGTGTGTGTGAGTGTGTGAGTGATTATAAACCTAGCTGATACCTGTTGATGTTCACAGAAAGAGAGAGCTGCGACTCCGAGTTGTCATGTGTCGAGTTAGTTTTATATATAGCGTAGGGCTTGGAAAACCCTAATTTGGGTCCTTCATCGGATCCACGTGTACGGCAGAATTTCCATTACCTATTCATCGATGCACTGTTTTATATCATGTCACGCGGCGCAGATCTACATAATTTGGTGCTACCTGCGTCTCAACAAAACCCTAGGAGTAATTTATTAATTTTAAAAATAAATAGTTAATTATTTTTTTTACAAATTTTATTACGTAGTAGTATCAAGTATGTATTATAGGAAAGGAAATATATACAAGTGTGTAAAAAGACAAAAATATTCAAAAGGATCAAATTAAATTTGATGGAATGTTTTAGTTTTTTATCTGAATTGTTTTCTAATCTGAATTATATTTTTTTTTAGACAAATATTTGCATAAAGTGCCAAACAATCTATTTTTCGTCTTCATTAAAAAAATCTTATACGAGATAATGAAATCCAATTACAAATTTTCATGTTATCTTAGTTACACTGTTAAATCAGATCCTATGCTTTAAGTTTATTAATAAAATTATAATTTTGCTAAAAATATATATAAATAAATACAAATACAATATATTTGCATTTTTATCATGCATGTATACTTCCTCTCTTGGCCAAAAGTTCATAAATTTTTTTTTTTTTAATAAGGAAAGAAGTGTTAAAAGTTATATTAGTAAATAATAAATCAATTATATTATTATCATTCTGATATTAGTGGTCTCTTTTTTCTTTTATGTCTCAAATTAATTATCTCATTTGAACCGTCAAAACAAAATATATCTATTTTTATATAATTACCCTTTAAATTTTTAAAAAATTTAAGGCAAAAATGTTATATTAGAAGTTAAACCCTTTTAATTTTAAAAAATCTTACGACTTGATAATACACATATTTGAACATAAAAGAACAACTTCTTAATTTTGAAGGAGGACAGTGCATTATTTACATGTTCCCTTAAAAATTTATAATTATACCAAAAACGAAAATTTAATATGAGATTGTAATAATATGTGTAATCACTAGCAAAACAATAAACTTTGTATGCTCAGAGCCAAAAATATTAGGTTAGGGGCCAAATTTGTAATATGTAACTAAAGTTAGAAAATTTTATAAATTAATTGCAATATAATATTGTTTAAATCTTACTCATATATTGAGAAAAATACAACTTAATTATAGACGATAAAATGATATTAGAAAGAAAAATATAGAGAAAAAATGACGAGTTAAAATTAAAAAGAAAAGAAGTAAAGAAATAAGCATTTTTAGAGAATCAAATTTGCTAAATCATTTGTTGTAGTTTTTCAAAAATCTAAATTTTGGAAGAAAAAAATTGAGTCCTTTGATTCAACTTGGAATGATATGCCTAGATGAAATATTAGAAAATAATAATGAATTTTAACTATACAAAATTATTTTGAATTTAACAAGATTATTATTGAGTTATTAAACAAGATACAAATAGTTATAAAATTTGTCATTTAGCAAGTGACAATAACAAATATTAGCATACATGATATTTTTGTTGTCATCAACAATGTCATAATACTTCAGTTTATTTTCCTTTCCAATATTTCTGGGACTCACCAATAAAGATTGTTATATATAATTCTATATATTTTTCTTGTAAACAATGCATTTTTATTAAACATGAGGGAACATTAGTGATTTTTTTCTCCCTTTTTTTCTCTCTTGAATTAATATTATAGATATTGTACATGTATTTATGTAAATATAATAACAATGTGTTGTGATAACGACTATAATAATAATGAGTTTAAAATTTTGTTTCACAACATTTAAGCTTTTAGAAGTATAGTTAAAGAGTTCAAGTTGAAAATTTCTTAAATTTCAAGGAGATACTAACTAAATTTATTTTCAAACTCTCTATTTTGAATCAATATATAAAGTATTTTGAAAAAAATTGGAGGGACCAATTGAAAATTTCAATGAATTTTAGGGACAATATCAATAAATTAATTAATATTTAGGAGGAATTAATGAAATTTTGAAAAAAATTGGGGGTATGGGCTAGTTGACCCACCCTGGCAACATGATTTTGTGAGATGAGAGTCTTTGCCATTAAACTATTAATCGGAATTCTCCTTCATTTTGTTTAAAACAGTTTTGAAGTCCTATATACTGTTTTTGGACGAGAAAAGGAAAGGTCACCCCTTAATATTTTATTTTTATTACTTTATATACAAAATATCCAAGAATGCTAATGTTTATTTGGTTGATTTAATACAACTGTATAGATTTTGTGTAAGAAACATATGTTACAATTTCCATTGCATCTAGGTAAGTCAACCTCACAACTCACAAGGACACAGGGGATGTCTAAAATGAGACAATGGAAGGGAATTGCCTTGGACAGTGTTATTTTTTTGTTCCTTCAATCCTTCCTCTCTTTTTTTCTTATTTCTTGATATGACCAGTTTTGGCGGGCAAAACCCTAAACTGCCACCAATATGAACCCAAGAAAAAGAAAAGAATCACACCATAAACCATCCCCAATATATATATATATATATATATATATATATATATATATATAAAAGCAGGAATCTCCTCTCAATGATATATTCCTTCCTTTAACTCTTTCCCAAATGCTACCTGGTAGGAATGTTCCTTCTCCTCTCCCTACACCTATCCTTTCCTTTTTCCAAACCCTTATAGCAACCGAAAGCAAACTACCCCCAAACCGTTATCTATAAATGTCCTAAACATCTCAACTTGACATGCCAAACAAGTCTCTTCTTCTGTAAATACTACTCATACCTTTGTCTTTCCAAATTATTGCTTGCTCATCAAATGGCTTCTTCTTCTACAGCAGCTGCCTTAAAGCGCTCTGACTCAATAGCCGATACCATGCCAGCCGCCCTGAGGGAGAGCCGGTACCATATGAAGAGGTGCTTTGCTAAGTACACCGAGAAGGGAAGGCGGTTGATGAAACTTCACCATTTAATGGCTGAAATGGAGAAAGCCATAGATGACGCGAACGAGAGGAATCAAGTCTTGGGAGGCTTACTTGGCTACATTTTGTGCAATACTCAGGTCTAAATTCATCTCTCATTCATCATGTAGTATTTGTTTCTAGCATTTTAAGAATATAAGGGCCTGCTTGTTTCAGTTTTATGAAAACAATTCTCAAAAAAAAAAAAAAAAAATTTGTTTTCAAATAATTGTTTTTTTAAAGTTCTTTGAAAACAAACGTTTTTGTAACCAAGTTTTCAGAAAACATAACCAAACAGGGTTATTGTACAGCTTTTCTGAAAACAGAGATGATTGTCCCAGTTGTGTGATGTTTTTTGTTCATGGAATCTACAGGAGGCTGCTGTTGTTCCTCCACATATTGCCTTTGCCGTTAGGCCAAATCCTGGATTTTGGGAATTCGTTCAAGTGAGTGCTAATGATCTATCGGTTGATGCCATCACTGCTACAGAGTACTTGAAATTCAAAGAGATGATCATAGATGAAAATTGGTATAAATCATTGACATGTAGCTTGTTTCTGTTTATTTTTATTTTTTTTTTTTTGCCACTTTTTTTTTTTTTGGTAATGTTTTCATGGTAATTTATGAACACAATCAGACATAGATGGTGTTGTTTTAACATTGCAGGGCAAAAGATGAAAATGCATTGGAGCTTGATTTTGGAGCATTTGACTTCTCTATGCCTCGACTCACCCTGTCTTCATCAATTGGAAATGGAATCAATTTCGTTTCAAAATTCCTTACTTCTAAGCTGAATGGTGGCTCAGAGAGTGCACAGCCTCTCGTTGATCACCTACTCTCACTAAATCACCAAGGAGAAGTATGGAAGCTACACTGCTAATGCAAACAAGAAAACCTTTCAAATTAATACTGCCAATTCTAGAAAATTAAATAGTTTCTAATCAATTTTTGGTTCCAAATTTGCAGACACTCATGATCAATGAGACACTTAACACGGCTTCAAAGCTTCAGTCAGCTCTTATAGTAGCTGATGTAAACCTCTCAGTATTGCCCAAAGATACACCATATCAGGACTTTGAGCTAAGGTAACATATATTTTTTTTCATGTGTAAGCTGGCTTAGAAATCGACATCTAATAACATATATTTCTGCAGGTTCAAGGAGTGGGGTTTTGAGAAGGGGTGGGGTGATACAACAGAAAGAGTTAAGGAGACAATGAGACTGCTTTCGGAGGTACTCCAAGCGCCAGACCCTTCAAACATGGAGAAGTTCTTTGGCAGGCTTCCAACGATATTCAATGTTGTGTTGTTCTCTGTTCATGGATACTTTGGTCAAGCTGATGTCCTCGGCTTGCCAGACACTGGGGGACAGGTATACAATCTACGATCTTAGCATTAATAAAAAAAAATAATAATTCTAATGCATTTGATCTTTATGTGCAAATCTAAACTTTGTTCTCACATAATTCAACAGGTGGTGTATGTTTTGGATCAAGTGATTGCTTTCGAAGAGGAATTGCTTCTCAGAGTTAAACAACAAGGTCTTAATGTGAAGCCTCACATTCTTGTGGTAAGTGCCATATATCACAACAAAATGCTTTGGCTGGCAGTGGTAGATCAGCTTAAAATTAACTTTGTAAGTGATACTGTGTTTGATTATATGCAACAGGTCACCCGCCTTATCCCTGATGCTCAGGGGAATAAGTGCAACCAGGAGCTAGAACCGGTCATCAATACAAAGCACTCCCACATCCTCCGGCTTCCATTCAAGACAGAAAATGGAGTGCTCCGCCCATGGATTTCTCGTTTTGACATTTATCCCTATCTTGAGAGGTTTGCTCAGGTATGTGCCTTATAAACCATCAACGCTAACTCTTTTAAATCTCTCCTACACAATATATAACCAGTTGCAATGTTGTCTTTCGTGTTTTTTTTTTTTTTTTTTTTGCTTGTCACAAATCATTAGGATGCCACAACTAAGATCCTTGAACTCATGGAAGGGAAACCAGATCTTATCATTGGAAATTATACTGACGGAAACTTGGTGGCTTCACTTGTGGCCAGCAAACTTGGGACAACTCTGGTCTGTCTGTTCATTTTGTTCACTAGTTCAAATTAGTTATTGGCAACTATGAATTTTTCTTCTTATATTTACTAATATCGATATATATACACTTTTTTAAATATATAGGGAACTATTGCACATGCTTTAGAGAAGACGAAGTACGAAGATTCAGACATCAAATGGAAGGAGTTTGACCCCAAGTATCACTTCTCATGCCAATTTACAGCTGATACAATTGCAATGAACACCGCAGATTTCATCATCACAAGCACATACCAAGAAATTGCTGGAAGGTTGGAATATCTGTCACATTTCCACACCTAATATAAGCTTATACTCACCTCACATATTTCCCTAACCTTAGACTCAAAACCAGTGGACAAGATTTAAAGTTTTAAGAATTAAAATTAGAGAATTCAAAGAGAGCAAATTCAATCCTTTTCTTGCTCTTAAAGCCTTTTCAACCGTGAGAATATGATAAATTTTAAAATTAACTAAAATAGCATATTGTATTGAATTCAAATGTTATTTGTTTGCAGCAAGGATAGGCCTGGACAGTACGAAAGCCACACTGCATTCACGCTTCCAGGACTTTATAGAGTTGTTTCTGGCATCAATGTCTTTGATCCCAAATTCAACATTGCTTCTCCTGGGGCCGACCAATCTGTCTATTTCTCATACACAGAGAAGCAGAAGCGACTCACAGCATTTCGTCCTGCCATTGAAGAACTACTGTTTAGTAAAGTTGACAATGATGAGCACATGTAAGAGTTTGAGTTTCAACCATAATTTAGATTTTAAACTGCCTAGTGCCAATAGGATTATCTGTCTAAAGTATCAAACACTTTATCTGAACTGCTTCCTTATACAGTGGATATCTAGAGGACCGGAAAAAACCTATCATTTTCTCGATGGCAAGACTTGATACAGTGAAGAATATCAGTGGATTAGTGGAGTGGTTTGCAAAAAACAAGAGGCTGAGGAATTTGGTTAATCTTGCTGTTGTTGCCGGCTTCTTTGATCCTGCAAAATCAAAGGACAGAGAAGAAATAGCCGAAATAAAAAAGATGCACATGTTGATAGACAAATACCAACTCAAGGGTCAGTTCAGATGGATTGCAGCGCAGACAGATAAGCACAGGAATGCTGAGCTATACCGCATCATTGCTGACACGAAGGGAGCTTTCGTGCAGCCTGCTCTGTATGAAGCATTTGGTCTCACTGTCATTGAGGCAATGAACTGCGGATTACCCACATTTGCCACCAACCAAGGAGGCCCAACCGAGATCATTGTTGATGGGGTTTCAGGTTTCCATATTGATCCCAACAACGGAGATGAGTCCAGCAATAAGATTGCTGATTTTTTCCAGAAGTGCAAGGAGAATGCTGAATATTGGAACATGATTTCGGATGGAGGTCTAAAGCGTATATATGAATGGTACAATAAGCTGTTCTAAATTAATTGGACTTATTCAAGTATTTAGTGAATGTGACAACTAATATTTTTCGATTATTTTGCAGCTACACATGGAAGATCTATGCAAATAAGGTGTTGAATATGGGGTGCATTTATAGCTTCTGGAAGCAGTTGAACAAGGACCAAAATCAAGCAAAGCAAAGATACCTCCAATTGTTCTACAATCTCCAATTCAGGAAGTTGGTATGTTGCTTTAATGAATTTGACACATATCACTGAACTTTAAGCCCACGGGATTGCTAACACTTGCTCATATGACACTGTCACAGGCGAACAATGTGCCTAACTCAATTAAGGACGACCAACAAAAAGCGCCCCAGGAGGAAAAAGCCAAAGCACAGCCCCTACAAAGGCAAGTTAACTAACTTCAAAAAAATGATGGCAATCGTTCCTAAACTATATAACTACTATTCTTTGAAAAAAGTAGATAAATTATGTAATGTATTTATTTTTTCTCCCATTGTCTCCTATGGTAACAGCAAATAAGCAAAATGTAATAGATGGAGATTCGTAATGACAACAACTATTCTTTGTTGCTTATAATTTTCCAAAGTAAAGAAGCAAATTTAAAAAGAAAAGAAAAGAAAATAGAAGCATCTCCTCCTCCCTTTCTATTATAGAATAGATATATTTCAAACTTCAAACTTATCTTAGTTTGAGAACTTGCCTGTCAACTAACTATTATATTGTTTTGTGTTGCATCAGGCGCCAGTCCCGGTTGCAAAGGTAAGACTGCATTTACAATTGCTTGATTCTCACAGTTTCTTTTCAATGAGTTTTATTCTTACAGTTCTGCATTTGCTTAAGTAACACTTCACTAAAACCATTTTGACTTGCAGGTTGTTCGGAGCTTGAAGGTTCAAAAACTAGGGCAACCAACTCAAATTTGTGCAGTCTACATTGGTGTTATCTCCTGTTATTTTTATTGAATTCACATCACTTTGCAAGCCTAGAGAAAGTGATTTGTGTACTAATATAATAACAGAGAATCTGGTTTTGATCTGATGCAGATCATTGATTCTTTGATATATAATGTGAGAATTTTTCTGTTTGATAATACAAAAGTGCTGTTTAGCCTTTTGTATTCGAAAGTATTATATAAATTACTATTGATATTTCATACTTTGGAACTTACCTGAATGAAAATTCAGATTATGAGTGCATCACAGTAGCAAAATATCCAAGAAGTTAATAGACTAGGATCGATTGACCAAACTGAATACTTGTTTGATGGATGCAATACATTTTAAAATTGTGGGTGTTTCTTTATGATTTCATTTTTTGTTGAAGTAAGATTGTGTGAACTTGCACATATGAAATAGAAAGGCTGTACAGAGAACAAATGGACATACTCAGCTGAGTTCCACCTTCAGAATAAGGCATTTTCTAGCCTATAGTACTGAAGACATTATAATAAACGAACAGTAGCAAGTGAAAATCCGAGGCAGTAGAAATATAAACCAACCCCTCGGATTGATTATTAGAGAATGGAGGAACTTATAGGATAACCCACCAAATTTCAATCCATCCAATATAGAATTTTCACATCAGCATAACAATTGGTAGGGTGAGCATGTGCAGCAACAATGAGAATTCGTTGTCAGTACCGGTGCAATAGCAGCAGCTGTGGGCAATAGTAGAAGCCAAAATGTGAGTATCATCATGAGCAGAGCGACAAGCCATACCTTTGATGTCAGGTTCAGCGTAAACGCTTGTCATGGCTGCAGGAGGCTGTAACAACAGCAATAGGTTGGGTTGATATGAGAAGCAATGCAACAGTTGGCAGCATCAAACAGTAGACTTGTTGCAACAGTAGCAAGAATTACTAGCAGCCATTACTTAGGGCATTAAATGGAGTTGGGGATCTTAGCTTGATACTATGCTTCACAAGGAGCCTCGTAGTGCTCTTAGTTTAAGCCATTTCTCCAACCCCGTGATTAGTATTGTGGAGTGGTGATATCACATAATATTTCGCCTCTAGATTCTTATACGACAGCCTCTCTTATGTGTATGTAAGATTACGTACATCTAACTCTCCTTAGACCCTACAATAGTACAACGGCAGGAGCCTCGTGCACCGAGCAAGCCCTTTTTATCCAATAAATTCAAATGGAAGACAATGAAGGTTGGCACAAAAGCCCAGATGTGCTTCCCATAATAGCTCCATTATATTCTTAAGTATTTTCAATGCCAAGACCACCCTCAGCCTTTGAGCAGTCAAGATCAGGACATGCATGCAACCTTGACACCAGTAGTTTTCAACTCAGTCCCTTTGCATGGGAAGGCCTTAATACACTAATCCATCCATTGAACAAGAACAACTCTTTTGGGAGGCATCAAAAAACTAATCTGCTAAAGAATAATAGCTTAATGAATTGTGCTCTCCTAGTATATAATAGGAATTTATCAGTCATTAGACTCGACTCTTGAAGTTACTCTATCCCCAAAGATTCCTACAATTTTGAGACGCCTTAGGTGAACTTTCAAATGCCAGGCTCTTTATATATATATATATATATATAACGCATATCCTAAATGTATTTTTGGCCCTAAATTGGAGGCCCCAGTCAAACCTGCATGCACTAAGAAATTTGATAAGCAATATCAAAGTGTGATAAATATTGTACGTCTTTGCCCAATTTCGGCTAATTAATTTTTTTTTTTTTTCTTTATAAGTATTTTGCAAACCACATAAAATCTGTTTTTTTTGTTTGATATGTTTTCTATTTAATTTCACAACAAAATTATTATATTTTGAAGGAATGAGCTGTAATTGTTAAGTAGGTTTTATCAACCACGTAAACGTTAACTATCCCTCCACCTGCTTTAAGATTCTTTTCTTCATTTCCTTACTTGTCCTGCATCTGCTAAATTTGTTCGTCCTCATTCTCAATCTGGTTAGATTGTTGGCTTCTTTATACCTAAAGCATATGTAGCCACAAACATTTGCATCAGCGGCTATAGTTCACTAGCTATGACAATATAAAGAGCCTTCACTTGGTTGCACACTTTCACCCTTACACACTTGATCACTTTGGTTGCTAAGAGGGAAGAATAATTATATTACTAATTTAGTAGTCAAAGAAACAAATACAAGGTTAGCACTTACACTCTCTACTTAGGCATACATTTGCTTTCATAAGTTGCTGGTTACAAATAAGACCTTTACTCCTTATATAGGCCTCAATGCCTCATCTCTCACTAATGGATGACAAAGATGGATTGCAATTTACGTTATAATTTTATATCTAGAATATTCCTCTAAAATATCTAAATATTTATAAGTCTATGTGCCTCTTTATTTCTCTAGAATATTTTATACTCTACACATTACTACAACACTCTAAAATTCTATCTACCAACGTTGGAAGACTCTAAATTATGCACATAACAAGTAGATGCCATGCAAAAGTCCTCTTCAATGTTTGTGTGTCGTCTATATGGTGCACTCTTTTTGGCGGGGCTTGACACATTACCCCCAATAATAACAACAAATCAACAAAATATAATAGATGGAGATTCGTATTGACAACAACTATGATAAGAAGTCAATAGAGAGCCACGTGGGCTCCTCCACTAGAATCATCTGCATATTTGTTGGAAAAAAAGAAAAGAAAAGAAAAAAAAGGATGGCTGCAATAAATAAATAAATAATAAAATTGTGGGTGTTCTATAGGATTTCGATTATTATTTATATATTTATTTTTTAAAGATTGTGAACTTGTAGTGATGATATAGAAAAGCTGTACAACGAACAAATTGACATATATACACACACCTACAAAATAACAACAGCTGAATGGAAAATGAGACATTTCCTAGCCTAGAGTACTGAATGCATTATGGCAAACAAGAAGTCGCAAGTGAAAATCAGAGGCAGTAGCAATTCCTATTATACTAGGCTAATTCTAATATTTACATTTAATATTAGTGAGTTACTTATAAATGTTGATGACGAGTAACCAAAATTTTAAATTTTCTTTTAAAAATTATTGCTGACCATTTAAACTTCATACTATACATTAAGAAGTTTCTTGGGATGAATGGTTAAACTCTCAAAGATTTTAAAAAATCTCGATTTAAATGATATGCTTTCCCCTTCCTCCTCCTCTTTTTTTTTTTTTAATATTTTTTTCACATGTGCTTTCCTATTAATAATATAGGAATTAATATTTATTATTATTATTATTATTTTAACAAACAATAAAAGTCACATTCTATTCTCAAAATGGTTTGAAAACTCGAGATATGTGCAATTATTCGTATATCTCACATATAATTTAAATTTAGATATTTTTATGCCATATGAAAATCCAATCCCGGGAATAAATTTTTTTGTAGGAATTAATTCATCACATTATTGATTTAAAAAGAAAATAAAAGTGTTACATAAAAAAAATAAAATAAAATAAAAAAATAAAATAAAATAAAATAAAATAAAGTGAGGAATGACTTAATATAGGTTGGAATCAGTTAAAGAGAGGTCGGTAGTTTCGGTCCTGTGAACAAACGCACCCGGGTTTAAACGCGCGATTCATGGTCCTCAGCTTTTGAACCGTTGTTCGCCAAATCATTTGGTTGAACAAAGGTCCCAAGAACAAAACACAAGAGAAGAAAACCTAATCCAAATTTATAGAAAACAAATAATTTTTCTTTTTCTGAAATCACCCTTTTCTGATTTCTCTTTCTTGCTTTATCCAGAGACAAACACACACACACACACACACACATATATATTGAAGATGAACACGGAGGACCCAGATGGGACCCCTCAATATTCTTCCAAGAAGAACTCCAAGAGACCTAAATGTACATTTCCTTGATCCTTTCTCTCTATACATATGTGTGTATAATTTTCATATTGAATTTTTAAATGTTTGCATATATAATTTTCATATTGAATTTTTAAGCTAGGTCAATTTTTGTGAAATTTTGTTGGGTAGTTCTGCAATGTATGTTTAATGTGTGTACAGATATATTTTTTCTGATCAATGTGGAATAGTATTGGGTCATTGCTACATTTTTTATTTTATTTTTAAACAAAGTTCATGGGTGTGTCTAATCAGGGTTTTATTGTAAGCTAATCAAGAGTGTTAGTTCTGATATTTGTTGATTTTTTGGGTAAAATTATCCAAATTATATATACACATGAATTTACTCATATAATTGGTGCCAAATGGTCACATCTTCAAAATTCATGCATGTAAGCTTTTTAAATTTAAATTTTCTTTTCTTTTAAGTTGCAAATGTGAAGTAGGTACAAATTCTTTTTTACACTAAAGATGATACATGAAGTGTGTATATGGATTTCTCATGCTTGGTCCTTAAGATATTATGAAGAGCTACATTGTTCCTGAGTAGGTTCAGAATTCAACAAAAGTCGCCGATGCTATGTTCGGGAGGATGGAATTGGAATTAGAGAAAATTTAGTTCAAAGTTTGAGCTGATTTTTTCTCCAATTCAAAATTTAGTTCAAGACACCGATTTCATGCTACCGAACATAGCATTAATGTTCTTGTTCAATCTCAGAGAGTACTTGCTGTTTTTAGGTTTAGTTTTAGACAAATTTTATTCAGGTAAGTGACCAGATCTAGCATTGGAGATAGTGTGAGGATCATTAGGTTCATGCACATTTTTTATCCCTTTTTTCTTTCCCTTGCCTCTTGGATATGCACATGCTAATAGAGCAGAGAGTTGGTGCTCAGCTTGAATGGTTAAGGATGCGATAACTGTCCCGTGATTAGTTGGTTAAAGATGGTCTGATGTTTTATGGAGTGTTCGATTTTGATGAAAGAGGCTTTTGATATCTTATGAGATGTTACTCTAGCTCAGCTTCTCAACAATTTTTTTATTTTTATTTTTAATATTCATGATATTTGCAATGTTTGTAAAGTTACTGAATGATGAATAAAATGTTAGTATTAAGTACACCATCCATCATCTTGGGTGATGAGAATTATGAAGAAGGGTAAGAATTTGAATCCCTCTCTCTCCGAGTAGTTAATTTAAATTTCATATTCTATGTTATTCTGGTTTTTGAATCTTGTTGAACTTAAAGCAGCATAGTCATATTAGGCAAAGTTGGGAGGAGGTTCTTGTTTCATCAAGTCCCGGATAATGAAAACATGAGATTTTCATTTTCATTTTTTATGACAGTCAAGCTGTGAAGAAATAGTTGGAGTATAGTTTGCTTTACAAAATAGCCACTTATCAAAAGAAAAAAGTTTGCTTTACAAAATAGCCATAGATCTTTTACAAATTTTAGATATGCCTAACATTAGTGATGTACAATCTGCATTACACTTGTATGTTAAAGACTTAACCTTATTTTTCATTTCTGAAGAGTTTGACCTAGAAGATGTTGTATGGTATTTACAAGCTCACTTTTTCCTATCCCATATACTCTAATTTTGAGAATTGATATTTTATCCCTAGAAGTAAAGGCAAATATCCAGTATTTTGTTCGTTTTGTAATTTCTTTATGAAATAGCCATTTGGCTGATGTAGTTTTATGTTCCAGATTCCAGATTTACACAGCAAGAGCTTCCTGCTTGCAAACCACTTCTAACTCCAGGAATCGTAATGATACTACATTGAGCTGGTTTTACTTTTGTTAGGAAGACATTTTCTTTCCCGGAGTTCTGTTAACTCTCTCTCTCTCTCTCTCTCTTGGTTGCAGGTCATTATCACACTCATCGTTGTTGGCATAGTCTTCATCCCCGTTGGCCTTGTTTCCTTGTTTGCATCAGGGCGTGTAAACAATCAAATCCTTTTCTTAACTACAATGATGAAGTTTTAGAGTCGGCATCTGATTGATGTTTTACATGCCCTATCTCTTTATTTGACATGTAGGTGGTGGAAGTTGTAGATCGCTATGATGAGGATTGCATTCCTTCAGACTATAGCAAAAAAATGCTTGCATATATCCAAAGCACCAAAACCAACAAAACTTGTATCAGGAGCTTGATTGTTAGTCCAATTCCCTACTACTACGAGTTTCAAGAATTTTTGGGTTTCATTTTCCATTTCATGATTCTTTTCTTTTTCTGTTCTTTTTATCTTACCAACTTTTACTAGCACTAAATGAGTTCCTTGATTGATATTCAGGTTCCAAAGCAAATGAAAAGTCCCATTTACATATATTATGAGCTTGACCACTTCTACCAGAACCATCGCCGGTTTGTTATACTTCTTTCGATTACATGGAGTTTTCATTTTGTGGCTCTTTTCCTGTTGGTTTGTTTTCTGATGGATAACTCCCTTAGTCCTTTATATTTAAGAATTCACAAGCTCCAATAATATTTATAAGATAAGCTAAATTCGGGTAATAATTTTTTCAAATATACTAATGCCTAGAATTTCTTGTTTAAATTGCACTGAAACGAAAGTATCTTGTTTGAAACTAAAAATTTAGTAATAAGGTTGTAAGGGTAAAAGGTGTTAAAAAAATTATTGTTGTGGGGTCTAAAGATGCCGAAATAAAAAAGTGTTGTTGATTAAATTGTTGCAATTATTTTTAGTCTCATGGAATAATAACTGTGACACAAAGCCGTAAACCCTTGAAATAGGCACTGGTTGAATACCAGCAACAGCTTGTCAATTTGCCTGCTTGTTGCCTTTCAGGTCTATGGCCATTATCATGGTGCCAATGATGTTAGCTTATCACTTTATAACTACATTTGTGATTTTTATTTTTTATTTTTTTATTTTTTTATCAGTAAAAAATTGTGAATAAAAAACTAGTGACATGGGAATTGTCAGATGTTATAGGAATGGATAGATTGGTTAATGCCGGTGCGTGGAACAGTCAAATCTGCCACAATGGGCATGGATAAGGTTCTCAGATGATACCTCTTAGCGTAAGCATTGCACAGTCTCCATAGTTAGCTAGTCTGCCTTGGACACAAGAGATGTCCGTAGAGTTTGTTGCTCGTTTGATGTCTAATTTATGGTCTTGGTCAAGGGCCTCTGAGATTTACAAATCTTTGAGTCATTGTTGAGGCTATTTTTTCGAATCTGCTTCTGAAGAGTTTAGTCTTAATGAAGAAAGAAATGAAGAGATCATTTCTGGACTATTGCTGCATTAGCAGGGTTTGCCTGGGTGGCATGTTGGACCGTTCTGTTAGAGATTTCTTGCCACATTTTCCATTTCAGGCCAGTATAGTCTTGTTGCTAACTTGCTACATGCAGCTTATAGAGTAACATCGACAATCCCATGTTTTGGCTGTTCGATGAAATGGAGCATATCTTATGCTTCATTGTGTCCCAAACAAAGAGCGAGGAGACCAAAATGTGAGTGATGGTGGAGTACACAATGGAAGCTTATGAAGTCCTTGAGCTTTGGAGAGTCCCTTTTGTTGCTCTGGAGTTGTTCAATTATGAACCCTCACCTGTCCAAAGTGCTCGGAGTTGTTCAATTATGAATCCTTGCCTGTCCAAAGTGCTCTGGAGGCATGAGGTTAAGTACAGTGCAGGGTTGTATTCTCTTGAGAATCTTATTATGTTTAGAATCCTCTGCCATGCTGATATTTGAGGTGAGTAAGGCGGCAGCATCTAGGTAGCAGACTAGCAGTTTGCAGACCATGGGGTATGATATTAACAATGTCAAATGTGTCAACGAACTTCTGGATTATGGTGCAAAGTGCAGGCTTGCACTAATAGGCTAATGCATAGGTCTCCGACTTCTGTGACCACAAGGTTAGAGTGTCTCTTTGATGCTTATCCCGATGCCCATCTAAGTGCTAGCAGGAGGCCAAGGATGAGTGCCTTGTATTCTTCCTCATTATTCAAGGACTTGACGTCCAGTATTTATGAAAGGTTGATCTTACTATCTTCTGAAGTGAGCACAACACTCACTCCCCATGCTACGGTGGATGAACCATCTAATGGAAGGGTCCATTCGTCAAAGTTGATTGAAACTCATCTCCTGTATATCACATTTTTACATGTATATATGGAAGGCATTCAAACTTAATCTCAAATCTGCAACATTTGATGTGAAATACAAGTATTTAAGGCAAAGTCTTCCATCATATAATTATACATGACTTACTTCTGGGGAAAATAGAACTTTTTCTCTCGCTGACTTGTATTTGTTTTCAGATATGTCAAAAGTAGAAGTGACAAACAACTGAGCAGCAAGAAATTCGAGAATGAAACAAAAACCTGTGGTCCTGAAGACTTTACGGGGAAGAGGTCTTCAATAGTACCTTGTGGCCTCATTGCTTGGAGTTTATTCAATGACTCGTACAGGTTTTCATTGAATAACAAAGTGGTACACGTCAGTAAAAAGGACATAGCATGGGACAGTGACCAAAATTATAAATTTGGATCTGATGTATATCCTAAGAATTTCCAGAATAATGGGTTGATTGGTGGTGCAAAACTCAACTCGAGCATTCCTGTAAGTTCATATTTGTTATGCTCTCCATCTTGTTACATCTTCCCATAGTTTTTTCATTAATGCATCTCCTTTCAGCTTTTCCTTCCCCAACTATTCTTTTTTGTTCGTTTGCTGCATGTCACAGTTGAGCAAGCAAGAGGATCTTATAGTTTGGATGCGGACTGCTGCATTTCCAACTTTCAGAAAGCTATATGGGAAGATAGAGGAAGATCTTAAAGCCGATCAGAAGATAACAGTTGAAATACAGAACAATTATAACACTTACAGTTTCGGGGGGCAAAAAAAGCTGGTTCTTTCAACAACAAGTTGGATCGGTGGAAAAAATGATTTCCTAGGCGCAGCATACCTTACGGTTGGTGGAGTTTGCGTATTTATGGCAATAAGCTTCATACTTTTGTACATCATCAAGCCAAGGTAAGTAGAATGTTTCAATAATGTCTTAACAATGTTAATTCTTAAATGGATTTAGGTTCCCTTGAATTTCCATTGCATATGCATTTTCCTTAGGAGAATTACAGAGAAGATCACATTTAACATTTTGACATATGAGGTAGCATATTGTAATTGAATTAAAGTTCTTAGATTACTGAGGCTATCGGTAGGGTGTCCATGGTTGTTAAACTCTCGATTTATACTGTAAGATCCTATGATTCAGATTCTATACCATAGGCTTTCTGATCAACAACCCCAAGCCGGTTTGGAACAGTCACTTTAATTGTATCTTCACTTTTAATTGTATAGATAAAATCAAATATGATGCTTTCATTGTGATTTAATTCTAACAGCTGTTTAGAACAGAGAGTTTCTTCTGATTATTTAACTCTATTTCTCAAGTTCAAGTCGGTTTGGAACATTCACTTTATGCAAATAATGTCAAAGTTGAGGTTTACACCCTGGTCACCCCCTCCCAGCAACCTTGATTAGAAAGTAGTTGCTAATAGTGGGTGATGGCCTTCATAAATTGAATTTTGAACTGAGCTTTAAGGTGGTTTTCTTGCTATTCATGCAGGCCTCTCGGCGATCCAACCTACTTGTCATGGAAAGTAGCTAATAGTGGATAATGGCCTTCATAAATTGAACTGTGAACTGAGCTTTAAGGTGGTTTTCTTGCTATTCATGCAGGCCTCTCGGCGATCCATCCTACTTGTCATGGAACCGAAATCCTGCAGGGCAGTTGAACTAGTATATTTCCAATAATATGAATGTTGATCATTGCACTGCCTGCTCTGCTGAATTATTCCGGATATTTTCTTATTCACAAAAGAGCTTCACCTGGTAGAGCTGCTAACTTCATTAAGTTTCAAGAGTTCCGTTATAAATGTATATACCTTTGCTGTTATTGAATAGTTAGATTTTTGACTTAAATTTGAATATCATTGCATTTATTGGGTGCCAGATCGATTTTTATTTTTTTTATTTCTACTTTGCGTTTTAATAATCTTTACAGGGCGACATTCAGGCAAATTCTTACGATTATTAATGCTTCAATTGCCTATAATATCACCTGACATCAATATATATACATGATAATTGATTCTTAGAAGCATATATGTTATACATTTGGTTATGTATTGCCTGTTACACATATATATGACATTGACACTGAAAGATGTTATAGATGAAGCTATGTTTGTTACTGGATTAAATCTTGAATTGTACTTTTTGCCGAGCAATTCAATCTATACTGTAGAGATTTGTTAGCTTTAGTTCCCTGGTTACATTGAAAAAGTTAAGTACATGTAGCCATTGATCCCACCTCTTGAGCCGATGAACAGCTACCGTCTCAGGAATAAGCTCGTGTGAGCACCTTCCATTAGTTCCAGGATAGTCATACATTGCTGGTTTATTCGAAAACCGGTTCTTTGCCTTGTCCCCTGTATTCAACCATCTTCCAACCAGCTTATCCTCCGGGCCATAGGTATCATTTCCGGGAATATAAGAATTCCCAATCCACTCGACAAGGTCCCAAGATAGCAGAAAACCCATCCCTGACATGTAATCCACGAAAGGGTTCATGCTAGCGCAGGGAATGACAAACCCATAGTACAAATCCAACCTCGGTAGTGGCTCTAGTGACAATGCCAACTGCGGGAGCCTTATGAAAACATCATCATCAGCCTTCATGACATAGTCATATCGTTGTGAGAGAACGCGTGGGAGTGAAGAGAAGTAGGTGTAGGTCTTGCCACTGTTCATGTTCTCGGAGCAGTTGAGAATGATAATGTCGTTGAAACGCAAGATTTCAAGAGCTATGAATATTCTTTGTTCATCCTTGGTGAGATTGCAAAAGATGAATTTTACGTCAATGCTAGCTATAGGAGAGGATTGGATTCCATAGACTAGTCGGAGGAAGTGTCGCTTATCGTACTTATCCGGGCGTGTCAGAATTCCGACCAAGATGCTGAATTGTACTTGTGAAGGAGGCTTTTCGCGGGGTGTGATGGTATTGTTGAGGGAAGATACACGAGGGGATTTTACGTGGATGTTGAAGAGGACGAAGAAGATGAAGAGGAGGATGGAAAGAGATGGCAATGCAGCCAGAATTAGACGCCTCCTCGGCATTATGTGGTCTGTTTTCATTTGTAAATCTATTTGTTTTCGCAGTGAGGTTGATCCAGATTTAACAAAGAAGACAATTTTACTTTATCTGAGGCATTCGGGTGGTGAAACTCATGCTTTTCTTGTTCCTGGACCCCATAATTTTCTAGGTTTTAAGCAGTTACTGCTTATGCAGCCCTGCATTCTTCACGTGAGAAAAGTATCTGAAGATGTTTTTGCTCATGCTAACCATGAAGGGAGTTGCTAAGTAGGTGTGAAGCATCTAGCATGTGTGTGTGAGAGAGAGAGAGTTATAAGTACATGTCACAATCTTCCAGTTTTGAATCACAAACTCCATCCCCTACCTAGTAAAAAGGACAGGATTTCCATCCACATTATCTACTTGGTGGTCATTTCTTTGCCCCGAATTCCTAGTACTATTTTTCCACGTGCTAGGGGTCATTGCTTGGTGTAACGGTAAAAATTTGAGCTACAACTTTAGTTTTGAGTATGAAAATGGAATAATGCCAAAGATTAGGTCAATCTATAACTCAAAACAAATATAGTTCTACTCTCCCCATATAAGTTAGTGCTGTTTTCAATATTGTGATTTATAGAAATAATAACATCCTCATAAGTTCTATGAACATTTTTCTAATGGTTTGTGAAATTGAGAGCCACTGAGTGCTACAAAATTCAAGAATGAAACAAGGAAGAGTAATTCTAACATAATGAATATATGTTATGAAATTTGGAGCAAAAAATCTTAAATTACTGTATAACTTCACTGGCATGCTATGAAGGTTGGCTCCATAGCATCAGAGCTATCTCTATCACACATTTCAGGACCAATGCCGATTACTCCTTCTTCCTGCATTATATCAGACATAGATCATTTCTATGAACAGATGAGAGAAATATATATATATATATATATATATATATATATATATATATCTTTAATTTTTCTCGAACATTTTCGTCGCAGAACATCTAACCTTTGCTAGATTTCTGAAGTATGTTGTAGTGTAATTTCCTGATGGGAAAAAAACTTCAATTAGATCTGCTAGAACCAGTTGAGGCTGAGAAATCGCTCCGTCAAACCAGTCTGCAAAAAAAAAAAAAAAAAAAAAAAAAAAAAAAGGTCCAGAAATAAATACCATATAAAAAATCAATTAGGTCGTATTCGATAATTATATATCAAATTAAACTAATTTTCTTCCTATTTTTAATTTCAACGTGTGAATTCCAGGGTACCAAATTGAAATGAAAATTAAAAATTAAAAATATATATTTTTTAATATAGTTATTATTATAGGAAAATCATTCATCGTGTAACATAAAAGTGTATATATAATGATGAAGAGATCACAAGAAAGATAGCTTACCAAGGGCATTGGTGGACTTTTGGACTCTTTTGTCAAATCTCCACAAGCTTTGATTTGTAAGAAAACCAAAACAAGATCTATCTTCAACATTTATATTTTGGAAAAAAGTGGAGACAGTGTAGCCAACTGGGTCTGTAGTGTAGGTTTCATCAATCACTACATCTACAAACTGAAAGGAGGAGAAGAATGTGTAAGTATTTCTGAAATAAATCACAAGTATTATGAAGAAAAATTCTTTTGAATATTTTCATAGAAGCGTGTGTATCACAAAAATCGTAGCCAGTGCATGAGGTTTTCGTCATTGCAGGATTTGGAAAGGGTCAGATGTACTCAATCTTACCTAACTATTAAGAGACTGTTTCCGATTTTGAATCCGTGACTTCGAGGTCACAATGAAGTAACATTCATCTTTATTATTTATAATATCTAGAAGACTATGTTTTAAGATTAGAATGATCAATGTACTAAAAAAGAATTAACTATAAATATATAAATTAGATTAGCTTATATAAATGTTAATGAAGAGTTTGTGCAACCCAAATAAATAAATAAATAAATAAATAAAAAGACCTTACACATAAGATGGCATGAAATTCTTCAAGGTCATCTGGTATAGAGATGTTGTAGGTGACTTTGTTTATGGAGTTGTCCACATTTAGTCCACCAGCATCTTCAACGTACTGCACCCAAGTTTTACAACAGTAAACAAAATATAATGATATATATATATATATATATATATATATATATATATATATATATTATCAGATGTGATAAATCTTGATTGTTGAATGTTTATTAATTAAAGAAATGCAAATGATAGTCAGATTGGTAAAAAATAACTGAATTGGTACTTGTTATTTGAAACAGAACAAATTCATTCATCTAACTGTTTCTTTAAACTATTACAAATCAGTCTGCAACTAATTACATAGTTCAAATCAAATTGGTACCTTTAATTTGTAGGTTTCTTTTGTAAAAGACCATACACCCTGCAAAAAGAAATATATATATATATATATATATATATATATATATATATATATATAAAATTTGAATAAGAGTGACACATGATTTTGTGACATCAATAAAAAGAAACACTAGGATAAAAAAGAAAGTAATATTTTCTTATAAATATATATCAACCATACATCATTGTACTCCAACCAAGCCACTGTTGGTTTAAACTTAGTTGTCTTGCTTGCAGCAACTTTGGTCAAGCACATATAGTTCTCTTTAATCTGCAAAAGAACCAATGTAGCAACTTTTGTCAAGCACATATAGTTCTTTTTAATCTACACACACACACACACACATACATATATATATATATATATATATATATATATATCAATGTATAGTAATGAATATGCCATGGTTAGAACTAAATTGTGATATCCCTTACTGCATCATAGACTTGATTTGCTCTGCTTTCCAAATTTGCAAAAACTCCCAAGTACTTGATCCACTCTGCTCTCTGAAAAGTAAGGTAATTTAATTAGACAGGTAGTCAGCATGACTATATTAGGAATTAAAATTCTCTCCTGGAGAGGTCAGGTGCACTAACGGCGGTGATTGGAACAATCACTTTTCGTGATGGATTCCACTTGATAGTAACAATCACCACCATTAATTCTGCATCATTCGTACATTAGTTTATAGAATTGGAATCATCGGCGTTACAAAACATCTATATAGGTTTTGATGTACATGCAGATTGCACACGTATGAGGAATGCTTGAGACAATAAGCTACTACATCAGTATCCAATCTCATCTCATATGTGGGATGAAGGCTGGTCCTCGAGTCTTGAGGCTATATTATTCAACGTATGAGATTTAACATTTACGCTGGTTCGATAAATTGGTACCTGGAGGGGATATTCCTCCCCGGAAGGGAAAAAAGTTGCAAAGTTGCAAGATTGAGGTTGATCATTGTTGCTAATGAAGTGTGCTGCAAATTGTGCAAGCTGTTGTGGCTCACTTTTGTTGACCATCTCTATCTGTCCTTCATTGTATAGTTTAAGCACACACTCTGAAGTGACCAAGTCTGATGTAATGGCCTTCAAGTTTCCTATTAAGCCCAAAATCTGCCCCAAAAAAGCAGAGTATGTGGTGAAATATAAAAGCACATAACATTGAGTACTCTGAGGACCACTTAGTTTGTGAATATCAGTAGGGAAAGACATGAATTTACGCTACTGTCCTCTATTTTTTGTTGGTATATATTTGATCCTCACTAGACCGTGCAATAGCGAGAATCTTGTACATTGAGTTTGCTCTTTATCCGGTCTATACTTTTTTTTGACATGGTATATTGTTATTCATTACATCACCAGCAAAAAAACAGAGGACTAACCAACTGCATAACTGTGGAGGCAAAAACAAGAAAAGAAGAGTAGAATCAAGGGTTTATACTTTAATTATCATTATCTACACGAAATGAAGAAAAAGATTTGTTGGTGTCACGCTGATGAACAATAATACATCCTCCGAATTCAAAAGATGTCAAATAGAAAATATATGAGTGAGAGCGTGAGACTCACCACATGATGTCATGTGATGAGACTCACACTCTGTATACAACATCTAGTTAGCATCATTCGAATTCGGAGGATGTATCATTTTTCCACACCGATCCAATGTAACAAGCTAAATGTTCCTCGATATCATATGGGCCTATTTTAGTTCTGAATCCCGAGTCTGATGAGTTGAAGCCTATTTATCCTTCATACATAGAGTCTCAGCTTGTTGGAGCCCATATGTAGTTTAATTGGATATTTGCTCAGGGTGAGCTAATGAAGATCAACAAGCCCAAACAAAGCTCAATAAAGTATAAACATCACAGTCACGGGCCCACAACAATGGTTGTGATTTTCTCCTCGCCATAATAATACAATGACACGTGTTTATTAAATTTAAAATATATAAAAAAAAAAACAAGACTTATTATTTCTTTACATATTCTAAATTTAAAATGACACGTGTTATTATATCATTATGTCACATGAGTATTATATCATTATGTCACATGAGTATTGAAGAGAGAGGGGACAAATATTGTTCAAACAATAATTATTCCTCTTAATTCTTAGAGACTTTTTAAAATTGGGATTGGAGAAAAATTAATTAAAATTTTAAACTAAATTTTTTTCAATTTTAATTTTCAAGACCCATCCAATTTGGTACTCCGGAACAGAAAATTAAATTAATTTATAATGACTCACAGAAAGCAGCAATCCTCACCTCAAAGAAAGAAACTGCAAATCCACGAAAGAAAATCAAGCCAAAAAAAATGTGGTTATTGTCAATATATACAAGTAAAGATAAGAATTTAAAATAAACATGACCTTATTTAAGAATAAAAGAGAAATAATTACGATGGATGAATGAAAATATATACTTGGAAAATACATAGTATCGATGGAGTAATTTGACAATGGGATAACAAATGATTTGATTCTTGCCGTGCAATATTTCGATCTAGCTGCCATCCTCGTATTATTCTGTCAATATAACCAAAAGCTTAATTATAAAATGTGCCATAAAAATTTAATTAAAAGAACTTCATTTATACTAAATCAAACAATCCATTTGAATATGTGTTGCTCTTACGTTCCACATGTGAATTTACACTTTTAGAATAATTTTTTTATTCACAATTCGAGAATTTAAGTATATCAATTATTGAATTTAGAACCATTTTTCTGTAATTATGAATAACTATATATGACTTTTATTTATGAATGATAATTATCATAATATAACCTCACTAATTTTTTATTTTTTTTTAAAGTTCTAATATATATTTTTTGAAAGTTAGCTATTGAACTATTGTTTTTCGTAAACATAGTCGATTCATTCATCCAAGCTAAATCTAAGAAACCATATATATATATATATATATATATATATATATTGGTGTGTGCGCAAAATTGAGGATTCTACTCCAAGTAATGATGGACTCAGAAAATTTTGTGAGGGGTAGCCTTTTAATTTGAGGGGACAAACTTATATAGTATGTCCATTTTTGTAACTCATAAATTTTTAAAAATTTAAAGTATAAAAAAAAAAAAATTAGTGGGGTGAATTATAATTTTAGTGGGGACATTTTCATAAATTTTAAAAAATTTGAAGTATAAAATATAAATAAAATAATTTCAACCGGACGAATTATAATTTTAGTAAAACATATTCATAAATTTTTTAAAAAATTGAAATATAAAATAAAAGGGTTAATTACATTCACACCCCCTGAGGTTTGCCTTATTGACAGCCAAATGAAAGATAGCCATTTTTTGAACAATGACACCCCCGTCAAATTTTGCATCCAAACAAAGCCTAAAAAGGAGTAAAATGTCTACATTACCCTTTAATACTTTATTCATATTTAATCTGAAAAATCAGAACCATTAAATTACCGAAATACCCTTTTTTTTTTTTAGGAAAAAAGAAAATAAACTACAGCTACCTACTTTCTCTCTCTAACCTCAATATCCTCAACCCATCGTCGCCACGACTCACATCTGCCACCGCCACAACCTCCACCCACAACCACCACCTCCACCAGGTTTTTTATTTTTCTCTCTCCACTCAACCATCGAATCGCAATTCTCCGTGGTTAACGCTACTTATCCGCCAATACGTCGTTTCTCACTGTAGATTTTACTCCATCATATCAAGAAGAGCCTAATAAGTGTAACAACCCAGTTCTGTGTGTGTGTGTATATATATATATATATTTTTTTTTTTATTCACAAGGAGTTTAGAGGATTTGCAGCGGCGAGAGGTGATGCACAGAGAGGAGGAAAGATGGTTGCTTCGATCCGACGAATATTCCGATCACCACGCATAGTCTTGTTGAGCCCGAAGATTGATGTTGGCTTGGAGAGTTCACTATTCACGAATGCTGCATCGTCATGCTCGCCGAATTCGTTGAACATATTGTCTTATCCCAATCGACATTCTCAAAATCCGGCGTGACGGCAATTTGGTTTTCATTACCATCTTCAACCCTCACTCTCCGGAGTTGACTAACCACCATCGCCCCTAGGTATATTAGTTGGTGAGCACTGGTGTTGTTGGCGGCGACAGAGAAGGTTGCAGTAGCCACTTAGGGTTTCGGCATTTGTTGTTGACTACTTAGGACTTTCAATTGCAATGGTCACTTTGGTGTTTGAGGATTTGCAAATCGTTGATCAGCGATTCAGGGTGATAGATGATCATCGATTTAAGGTGTTTTGCATTAGTGGGAGTTTTCAATGGGTTGCAGGGAATAGAGGTTGAAATGATGAATAACGTGTTTTGGTGGTATAGATTACATGAGATTTTTTTTTTAGGTAATCAAGGTGTTCAGTCGATTATTAATGGAGAGGAGGTGGCCGACGTACTTTGGAGTGATCATGTTTGGTGTTGTACATGGGGCTATGGTGGTTCTGGTGGTATGCTGCCAGTGGTCATGTTTGGTGTTTGACATGGGGCGCTATGCTGATGGCGGTTGTGGTGGTGTGCTGCTAGTGGAGATGTCAACCACCCTCTTCTTCTTTCCTTCCTCTTACCCCATGCTCTCTCTGTATATCTGTGTATATATATATATAAAAGGAGGGGATGATATATATAATTAAATGTATATAATATATATATCTGATAGGTAGTTTGGTAAATTAAAATTAGTGAGAAGGTTAAATCGGTAATTTTAATATTCTAATGGTTTAATTGACAAGTCAACGGGCATTTTAGTCATTTGATAAATGTCAGAGTGTTCAGGTGTGCCTTTGTCAAACTCAACAAACTTGAAGGGGTGTCATTGTTAAAAAAATAGTTATCTTTCATCTGTCTGTTAATATGACAAACTTCAGAGGGTGTAAGTGTAATTAACCCAAAATAAAAATATAAAAAATTTAGTGGATCATTGCCTCCACTGTTACTACGTTGATCCCGACTCCAAGGGAAAAAAATCAAAACTTTTTATGTAATTCAAATAAATAAAATGATCAAGGCTGTCAAATATGTAGACCTGTGACTACTGTCGGCATGACAAAAAGTGTACTCAGTACTCACAAAGAATATTCTATTAAGGGATTTTACTATTAAAAAAAAATTTAAAGGAAATTTCAACTTCAGTGATTAGTTCAACAAGACATGTCAAAATCATATTACCCACCTATTAGAGACTCTTTGTAGTCTTGTACACTAACCTTTTTTTTTTCAAACATCTTTTAAGCTAACCATCAAATAGAAAAATTTAGCTAACTAACAAACATAAATCTAGCTAGTTTACGAGTTTTAAAATGAAATTCACATTATTCAACAGTCCACCTGTGACGAATTTTCACTAATTCAGATTGTCAATGTGATCTAAAAATTAACTCGATAATGGATCTGGATTGTAGAAGCGAAAATAAAAACAAGGTCTATTGGGATATTCAATATTCCTAAGACGCTATGGTGACTTTTCATGAAGTCACGAAATCAAAAGAAAACAAATGCGGAAGCAAAAAAGGTGAAAATAGACCAAGTATGCCCCCAAGGGCAAAATGATCATTTTACATACAAACAAGGTCTTAAGAGATGTACGTCATCCCTAAGACACAAATATGGCTTCCCATGAAGCCACAGAACTTAAAAGAAAACAAAATGCGGAACCGAAGTTTTAAAAACCGACAAGTTTAGTCCTAGGGACAAAATCATAATTTTTAAAAAGTTATGGGTACTACCGAGCATACCATTGGATAGACAACAAAAAAATTAACAAAATTAAACTCGATAATCACTTGATTCGGAGTCCAGACGAGAGAAAAAGAGCAAAAACAAAATGAGTGTCGTCGCGGCCGTGAACAGTGTTTTGACAGCAGTGACAGTGCTGGGCAAAAAAAATGCAGAAACATTGTGTCGTTTTGAGACATTAAACGAAGAAAAATTTATTTTTGACGTGAAATTTTCAAAATACCCTTGAGATCACACTTTTTTTCTTGAAGAAGTGCGTATCAGAAAATCAAATTTAACACAGAAATTTTCGAGACTGAAACGACATTTTTTGGAACATGTGCACAACAATTGTAAGCATTTCTCTGCGCAACATAATATCTCCCTAATCAAGTCACTAAAAAACGCTACCCAAACTCTCAGTGAACACAAAAAATTGTTAGATAATCTAAGAGGAACGGCGTCATTGTGCGTTGTGTGATTGAATTGTCAACAATGGTATCCCGGAATAATTTCTCGCAAAATTAAGTCTCCCTCTAATGGAGAGGAATAAAAGAATACCTGGATAAGAAGATAACTCTTGCCGTCCATGCTGTTCTTGATGACCTTGAAAGTCTGGCCATAGTATATGTGGAAGTTTTGAGCATCTTCCGCTTTTGAAATGTTACCAAATTTCACATTGTTGGCAGCATTTACACCTTCAATCCACCCCCAAGTGCACAACAAAACAAGAAGCAAGAAATTTTGCAGAGAAAAACCACAAGAAAATGAAGGAAAACTTGATGGTGAAGGCATGGTAATAATTAAATGGAGATGAAAAACAAATGCTAGCTCCTCAAGTCTAAGAAGAATACTATATATATATATATATATATATATATATATAATGGCATGAAGAAAAGGGCAAAAAGTAACACCTACATGCCACTGAACATCAACATGAGATATATATATATATATATATATATATATATATATAATGGCATGAAGAAAAGGAGAAAAAGTAACACCTACATGCCACTGAACCTCAACATGAGAGAGAGAGAGAGAGAGAGAGAGAGTTGCAGCCTTTTAGGATGGTATAGTGTATATGGCCATATGATGGGGTAGTGGAGGTCATATTATTTCAACTAATTGTGAATTGTTTGATTACAAATTTGTTGGCATTCATCTGTATGTATATATGTGTGTGTGTGTGTGTGTCTATATATATGTAGTCGTTAAAAAAATTCTGACCCGTGAACTCCAAGTGTGACATGGTTGTCATCTTCTCTAAATCCCATTTCTGTTTGTTTCCATTCACGTACTTCAATTCCTTGTCTTTTGCGCACACCATGTGCTGTCACCAAGACCTTATAGTCAAAATTATCATGTGTCTCTTACCCTATTACCCTAACTAACTATATATATATATATGTATATATATATATATATATATATTTGGGAATCCGGTGTATACAGGGTTTTGTGCAAAAGAGTCCCTTCACATTGATAAGTAAAGTTTGGACTTGCCCTCGAAAAATTACTTGTACTTAAAAAGAGAGGTCGAATATGATACTTCAATTACGAGATATTAAGTTCAAATGACTTACTACTGAACCAAACCCGTAAAGTTTAACTATATATGTTATGTCCACGATCACACCTCACATGTCATAGTTGATAGATCAAACCTCGTGCACTCACTCGTTATGCAAAAACTTATGATCCGTTTGTTAGCACAGACATGTGATGGGCTCAGTGAGGGCAATTGCCAAAGCAAAGATCTTTTTAATTTTTGTTATTTTACCCACCAATTTTTATTTTTTTTATTTTTATTTATTTATTTATTTTTTGACTACCGTTCATCTAAAGAAATTGATGAAAGGATTGTATAAGGGACCCCTTGTGTGTGTGTGTGTATCTATATATGAAAATGTACTTTAATTTGCTTTTGCTGGGTAGGAGGAAAAGCAAAAATAAAAAATGAAAGTTTGGTGACTACATGAGAGTTGAGACAGAAGGTCAGGCACGTTCAGCCCACTTTTCAGCCTTACCTAGTTGTGTACTCACAGGCTTCACAAGTTCACAGTAATAAGTCTTGTGACTAACAAAGGAATGTTTATTCAAAGTGGAGGCCGGATGGGAACCACATATATGAATGTTACAATGTACTATATATGAATTGGGTCCTAATGGCTTGTGAAATTCCAGGGTGGTTGGACTTGGAAAAGACTTGTCTTAATGGCTCATGAACATCAGGTTTATCTTTAAATATCTATATATATATATATATATATATATATATATATATATGGTTTTAGGATTGGTGCTTTATAGGTGCAAATAATTCTTTAAGGGCCATGTCTATTGATATAATTCGAATTTTACTTTGATTTGAGTGGGAAGGTGTCTTGCACGAGTCTTGTGGATAGGGACAAATCTATTGTGGGCTTAGTGGAGGCATTTGCCCCTCATTTTTTTTGTTATTTCATTTTATATTTCTAAATTTGTATTTTTTTTGTATTTATATTTATAAAATTTTGAAATTAACTTCACTAAAATTATGAAAAAAAAAATCCTCTATATAAATTTCCCCTCTCCATATAAATTTCTAGATTTCGTCCTTACCCGTGGATTAGTTGGAGAAAAGATTCAAACACCCCGATTATCCAAAAAAAAAAATAAATAAATAAAACCAATCAAATGTGAAAAATTAAGTGACGAAAAGAGTTTGAAAAAACCTAAAGAGCTCTTTTCAAACTATTGAGTTTAAGAAGTGATTTTGGTCTCTAAGCCTGGCTAAGCACTCGTGTTCTTTGGCTCCAAAATCACATCCCAAGGCATGCTTTTATTACCTGGGTCGATATCAATCATGAGCTTAAAACTCGAGACAAATCCAGGTTTTCAAGTAGGAGCATTGTCAGACTGTGTTTGTTGTGCTCGAGGGAAGATGAGCAATTCTTTCAATACAGATGTGACATCTATTCAAGTGAGCAAGGCCCCTGTTCGAAGTCTAGCAAAGCCATTACTTACAAGTTGTGCTTTGCGGGGATCATCTATCACTGTGGAGAGAGAAACAATCACACTTTCTGGGCTTTTGGCTCCCTGCACCTGAGACTTTTGAGAGGTCACCCATTCTGATAGTATTTCAAGTGGTAGTATTTTAGGTTAAGTATACTTAACTTTAAAATTTTGATGAGTTCATGAACATCACGACTTTAAAACTTGAATTTACATATAGCACTTACCTTATCCATGCACAGGTGATGTGAGATTGTGCATCTGTTTACTAATGTGCACGCTCACACACACTAGCTCACAAGGTCGCCACACTGATTGTGCCATTTCAAGGGATGTCGCCGCTGAATGGAACCTTCCAAGCTCTGTGATCTGTGTTAGCCTCCTTAATAGTGCGTTGCCATCGGGACTTCGGCTCCCTCATTTTCTGCTTTTGTTGCTCCTGCTGCCGCTGTTAGTTGTGGTAGCAAGTAGCAATTGTTTGTTGGGTCTAGGTGGGCTTTTGATTTTTTGGGCTCTGAGCTTTGCTCTTGGGCCTTTGTTATGCCTTCGGGCCTTTGTTATGCCTTCGGGCCTTTTGGGCTTGTTCCCCTCTTTTGACTTTTGTACATTTTTAGTTGCTATTTATACATTGAATACATTGAGTTACCCAAAAAAAAAAAAAAAAAATAGATTTATTCTAGCATTACTTTCTTCACCATAAATATATAATTAAAAAATAGAGAAGTTCAAATCAACAAATATAGCATATTTTTTATAAATTAGACAAGGAAACTACTAAAAAGTTGTGCTTCTCAAGATGCTATTTGTTAATTGGCCTCCACGAAAAGAACCTAAAGGTTCTATGTCAAGGATTCACTCAAACTTTAAAGACTTCCTTAAGCAAAACGATTGGAAGCAAAAGAAAAATAAATAAAAAAGAACCATAGTTACTAGACACCATGTCATTAGAAAAAGAAAAAATAAAAAAAAAAAAAACTTTTCCAAACACATGAAGGAAAAAAATGTGAATCTGCATTAAGAAACACCTCCTTAGCTTAATTTAACATACAAAATCGTCTCCTTAGTTGTTTTCTCTATGGGACCTGTGAATATATATTATTAATCTGTTTAAATAACAGTCATTCATTAATATGATGTATTCAATATGAAAATACAAATTAATCAAGATATATTTGAATCCAAATTTAGGGGAAGGCTAACTTTGCCTCTCCTAATACAACTATGGTTAGTAATACAATAAAATCAGAAAGTCAAAGAGCAATTAATTAAGCTCCAACATAGTGTACATAAATGGTAGAAAGAGCCAAAACAATGGTAAGGTAAGGCCATATCTTGTTTTTCTTGTAATTAATCCACTTCACTCTACATGGTTTCTTCATGATCTTCTTGTCCTTGGTAGAGCAATCTTCCTCTTTGTTCTTCACACCATTGTTAGTCATGAGAGCAAAGCCATCTCTCAGCTCTTCGTCTTCCAAATGTTCCCCAATATATATGCTATAAGCCAATAGAAGTGCAATTACAGTGACAATAGTGCTCATTATTTTCTTCAATGGCTTCATAGATTGGTTAGTCCTTGTGAACTTTTTTTTAGCAAAGGCCATGAACTTGTCAAGTAATCTTCTAGTTTTAGGCCTTGTTGGGAAATCTAGTTTTGGTATTGGGAACTCATGCAAAAACACTGGATTTAGATGGACCTTCACTGTCTCTGAAGGCATGAGTACATGAAAGAATGTCTCGGCTGCTTGGCGAGTTGAAACAAACATTCCATGATTCACTTCAATTTTCTCATAAACTTCAAAGGTAGGAGTATCGGAAAACTCATCTACGTCGCCATCTTCTAAAAAATTGTCACTCGGGTTATCATCTGCAAATTCAAGGGAAAAATCATCTACTTCATTAGTCTTATTGATCAGATCATTGAAGTTGTCGTGGTGATCGGTTTGACCTCCTGCAATAATCAATCAAATCTCTTGTCAATGAATTGAATAGAACAAGAAGGGGAAAATTTAGAGGTATGCATGGCATTGCAACATTGGAAATGAGAAAAGAGGATGTGTACTTTTTATATATACCTTGAACCTCTTGCTCTCTTCTTTGCAAACTTGAGATGTTTTCTATTGGAACTGTCTTGTATTCTTCAGTAAAGCTCTATACACAAATACAAGTAGAGTTACATAAGTAGGATTCATTCCTTCTTTTTCACCATTAAAAGAATTGCATAATGTAAAATTTTATGAGTTCGATATTGTAATTTTATTGAACATTTTAAAGTGAAAAAGGATGGAGCCTAATCAGCATTGATCATGATCTGTGAAATGGGAAGAAAAAAGATGTACTATAATCCATGGAAGTGAGTTCAAATTTTCAACAAAACTATGGTTAAAACGTCAATAACTCAAGTTTTCAGTAATTTACCTTCTCTAGATCTTTGCTTGACATTCCCACCCATCTCAAGTTTTCAGTAACTCTCCCACTTTGAAATTCACCATGCAAATCTCCAATTTCTATAGACCTAGCATTCTGATGTTCCATTGATTTGTCCATGAGTTTTGAAGAGCCCATGTCATGAATGTGGTCCGTATCAACTAGAAAAGAAAATTCATCAGCAATGGCACAATTTCCTCCCCAAGTGTTTTGATTTATCAGTTCCTGAGAAACTTGAGCAACCGAAAGAATTTCCTGCAAGATGTCTTCATTTCCGCGGATGGCACTTGACAGTGGCATATTAGGTTCAACAAAGCCCATTGGTGGGAAGTCTTGCACCTCCAATGGAGGCATCGTGAACCGGTGCTGCAATCTTGCACACTCCAATGCTATATCAACCTGAAAATCAATGGAATGATAGTTGGAAATTTTTTTCCCCTGACAGTTAAAGTAAACGTGCGCGCACAAGTATAATTGTCCCTACCAGAGCTCAAACACTCAATCTCCCCATTGAAAAGGAGAGATTATACCATATGAGCTAATGTCTATCGGTAATAAAATATAGATGAAATTGAGTATGTGAAATAAGATATACACAAAAAAGAAAAAGAGTGCAATATATCTATTTATTTATTTATTTATTTATTTATTTTTTGCTTGACCTACATTATATAATACTACTATATAGTTTTGTTACCTTAGATGGGGGATATGGAATGGTTGCATGATTTGAAAATGATGGATTGGCAAAGCTAAACGCCTCTTCTGATAAGTACTGCATCCATTTCTCATCATTTCCACCATTAATATTTAGGGAAGATCCACCATGGATGATGCTAGGTGAGCATGCATCTAATGGCATTGGATAGTGATCAGAGGTTTCCAAATCTTCACACCTTCCCTCAGAATATAGGTCAATACTGGATGAGTGATCACTGGACATCTGATTAGCAGCTACAGAAGCATAATTCTCTTCAATCTTGGGGCCAATCGCGCTCTTCTTAAACACGCGACAAAGCGCATAAGCATCCTGTAGATTTTTAAACAAAAATCATGTCAACCATCATCATACAATAATGAGGAATACTTGTCTAACCTCCAACCTCATCAATTGAATGTTGTGATACATTAACTGTGGGACCCACAGAATAGGCATTAATAAGCATTTGCCTTCAATGGTGTAAAGAATATAAGGGCAAAAAAAGAATGTAACAAAAGAATAATGCTATGAATGTAAGAAAGTACTATTACCAAGTGATTGAAATATTTGATTTAAGATAAGATGTTAAAGGTTGAACCTGCAAGCCTGAGGGAGTTTCACATTCTCTCTCATCTAGCCGGTACTCATGCATGACCCAATCCGTTCGAGCTCCATGGGGTGCTCTCCCTCTGTAGTAAACTAGGGTTTTCTTGGAGCCAACAGCCCTCATATGCGAGTTCACCTTTCGATCCTTCCCTGTGGCCTTCCAGTAACCAGCTTTAGTTGCACGATTAGTTCTTGATCCATTCGGGTATTTCCTGTCTCGAGGACTAAAGAAATACCACTCAAGATCTTTGCTTGGCAATAATGATTTTCCTGTGACATTTGCACATTGATTCTACTCATATATTAGTGACAATTCAATAAACCTTGGACTAAATTGGTGTAAAAGAAGAAAAATAAAATCATACAGATGTTAATACAACTGTTCATAAGTTTCACAGTTTGCCAGTGAACCTTTTTTGTCATGTTGATGTTACATTTATCTATATATAAATATTCAAAATGATTAATATGTGACATTTATCTCCATATAGCTAATACAATATTTGGCAAGACGAAGCTTTTATCAACCATGCATGGTATTTAAAAAATATAACTGAGCTTTCATTAAGAGAACTTCTTTGTAAATGAAAATGGGCTTTCCATTTCATGTGGCATATATGTGTGTGTGTGTGTGTTTATATAAAAAATTATACATATATATATTCTAAGATACCTAGATAAAACATTGATCAAAGCACTCACTCTAAGTGGAACCCTACTTTTTTTCAACAAAGTTTTTTCGGTTTGTCCAAAGGATTCAATAATGAGGCTCTATCTACAAAATATGCTATTGATACAAATGACAATGGACAAAGATAAATTTAACAAAAGCTTCCAACCTAAGAAGCAAAACCTAGGGTAAAAAAATAAAGTTAAAACTCATATATCTGAGAGACAATTGCAACCCTGTACTTTCTTGCTTGCTTTTTGACTTCAATCCCACACCTAACTACACATTTTCTGTTCTCAATAGTAGTTCAAAAGATGTAGGGACCATGCCCTAAAACCGTAGGCAACTTTTTTTTTTTCCTTATGCTAGGAAAATAATCTTGAGATCATATAAGATAATTCATACTAAAGTTGATGATCTTTGACTACTAAAGCATGTTCAATGCAAATCACTTATTTCCATAATCAGAATGATTAAACCAAAAGTAGGTGCATCGATCACGCGTAAGGGAGCATCTAAAACATTATATATATTACAAGAAAGAAAAAGAAAGAAAAAAATGGAACCTCCTTTGGCTTGGAGTTTTACTCAATGTCTTTCAAGTAATTCCAAATGCACTTAAAAGCTCTAATTTTCTTTTCATATTCTTGCGTTAGGTAATGACTTCTCATTACATTTCACACACACACATGTATATATTGTATATCTGAAACTGCAAATTAGTCTTGAAGGAAAAGCCTTGTAGAGGAAGATCAAGCCAATAAATGGAAATTAAGGCATGTAAAATATGGTTATTAATTATACCTTTCTTGATATGTAGTCACTTTCTAATTAATCTTTTAGGTCATGGGTCATTTCATTTCTCAATCTTCAATAACAATTGAAGTATACATTTCAACTAGCCAGCTTTGCATTATGAAAAGATTTGATCGCTTGAACTAAGAATCTAATTAGCACGAGGATATAAATATCAAAGTTACACCGTCTCTGACAACTTAAACTTTTAGAGTATATGGATTAGAGAAGAATGCATGATCTCCTACCTGGTAAGTCCCATGGCTCACACTTGTAGAGATCAATTTCGGGGATGATCTCGAGTTCGATCTTACGGCCATTGATCTTTCTGTTGAGATAGTAAGCCACGAGTTCTTCGTCGGTGGGGTGAAACCTAAAACCAGGAGGCAATGAAACAGGAGCCATCTCTCTCCACAACTTCTTCTGATCTTTTCCAATTGAAAAATAACTAGTAAATGTGATCACCAGTTTCTATTCAAAATTCTGAGACCTGCCTCTGCCACAACAAGTATTATACAACACTGCACAAAACCCTAAAATGATATTAGCCTTAAAGCCATAATAGTGTACAAAAAGAATAAGAACTAATCATTGAAAAATCATTTTAATCATTGACACACCATGTTATATTACTATCCAAATGAACAATATCATAAATACCCATGTATGTTTTTTGAGAGAGAAATATATATATATATATATATATATATAGAGAGAGAGAGAGAGAGAGAGAGAGGGAGGGGGGGAGACCTTAGGTACTGCAGAAGAATTTCCAAAGAAGAGAGAGAGAGAGGGAGAGGAAAGGACTTAGGATCAAGGGAATTAGGAAGAGAGAAAGAGGTTGAGAAGTGGGGATTGATTGGGGTTTTGATAAGAGAACAAAAAGAGCAAACAAAAAAGCAAATGGGAGGCTGCTACTTTACCTTTAAACTTGTTTTTTTGTAACCCAAATGATGCTTGTTATCTTTTGTTTCAAGCTCAATCTCTCTCTCTCTCTCTCTCTCTCTCTCTCTCTCTCTCTATACACACATAAACATATACATATATATAGTATTTGTGTTTCTCTCTCCAATTATCCCATGCTTCATCCACGTGCCAATTGATTTCTGTTAGAAGGATCTTACTTACGTTCTAACTAGAAAACTGTTGGGGAAACAAATTGGCGGCGTCCTCTGTTGCAAACAATGCTCCTTTCACATCACATGCTACGTAAGTGGTACTAATTACACACACAAACACACACATATATATGCACATAACTCATCAAATCTGCCGACAAAATTGAAAAATCACCCATCTCTTTTTGAAGTTTGCTAACACTAATACAAGTTAAAATTTGCTCATTTTTTTACTCAGCGAAAAGAAAAGAAAGTATCAGTAGCTTCCACCGAGAGTACTGGCTAAGGACTAGTTTAAGCTAAATTCTTTAGATAAGATAAATGAGCTAGATTTGATTCTATTTTGAAACCCATTAATTAATTAGTCTTTGTTTCACCTTAAAATTGATTTCATTATGAGATTGGTATATAAGTAGATTTTTTCTTGAAATTAAGTACTTATAATATATAAGCAAAACGATATAATTGACTGACTTTTTTTTCTAGGCTCCATTTGGCATGACATTTTATTTTATTTATTTATTTATTTTTGGCTATAGTGTCTATTTTGGCAACAAAAGTATGTTTGGTGCGGCCTTATTTTATTTTACACCGTGTTAAAACACTTCATGAACAGTTGCCCAAAATCAAAATATCGAAAAGTTATTTTTTTCTTGTTTTGACAACTATTCTTATCCCAAAACTATAACAGTAGCGTAACATTGTTACGACATTTCTACAACAAAATATCGTTCCTAAATATGCTTCCCATTTTTTTTCAAAACACTCTTTCTGTTTTAGTCAAAAATAAAACGCCAAAAATAAAGAGTATGCCAAATGGGCCCACTATATAATAAGTTGATGTAAATGATTGAAATAAGTAGCTAGAAAATAGATTTTGTGATTTTTCAAATAAGTGATAAAAGAGTTCTTATTGAATACTCTTTCTTGAAGTCCATAAATTTTTGTAATGTTACTCAATATATAATGAGTCGAGCTTGAGTTTCATTTTAATTATTTCTTTAATTTGTGTTTGGTCTCATTTAATCACAACTTTGGTTGGAATTGTCACACTCTTTCATAGCCGATCACGGCTTGGTTTAAACATTAGAGAAAGTCATGATCATACTCAGTTCTGTTATTTGGGAGTTTCAAGAGAGAAAAAGAAGGGAAAGTAGTAATTTCTTCACTTCTGTAAGAGACTATATATGTTAGGAGACAATAAAAAATTAAAACGGGTAATCATTAATTTTTTTTTACTTTTATCTCCTTTAATTTCTCCTTACTTGAATATATATATGTGTGTGTGTGTGTGAGATTGAAAATGCTCATTTTCCTTTCCTACTCCTCTTCACTTCCCTGTATTTTTCTTTTCACTTCATTCCTTCCTCACATAGTGAAATTATGATTATGGGAGAAAATATGTGGGTTTTACAGATATGGGGTTTCTTATTCTGGGTAATTTGTTGTGTATATATATATATATATATATATATATATATATATGTATATAGAGAGAGAGAGAGAGAGAGTATTTCCTCTGTTTGAGCAGGGGAAAACTCAGCGTGAAAGTGAAGGGCTACGGCCCACGGCTTCAGGTAATGGGGCCAGCTTTTGCCACGTGAAAGTAAGACTTTCCACGTGGCAGAGCAGGATCAGTTCAACAGTATTCTTCAATCTTCATCATTCCAATTCTGTCTCTCTCTCTCTCTCTATGCTTTTCCTTTTCATCAATCCATCTTTTGGTACTTTTCCCTTTTACGGGTTTATGCTTCTTCTTCTTCATTATATAAAATATTATATACATATATTTATTAAGCAATTTATCATTGTTATTACTAAGATTATTGTTAGGAGTATTAATATATTATTACATTTAATTCATGTATAGTGTTACACTTTTTTTTTTTATTATGGTATCAATTCTCATTCACGTTTTGACATTTTTTCTTTTGTATCTTTTATTTTTATTCTTTTTAGATATAAGTTTCATTAATTACAAATATGAACCTTTTTTAAAAAATTACAACATAGAGGGTTTAAATTTGGAGGCTGAATTTAGTGGTATAACAATATCGTATTGTACAGTATTGAACGGTCACAATCACTCACATGTGTGAATAATTGTGCCAGTTAGATGCAATAAAGTATTTGGGGTTTTAATGAAATTGAATTTATTAAATAATATCGTGTTGTACTGCATTGAACGGTCACAATCACAGTATTAAACTATCACAATCACTCACACGTATGTAATAGATCTCACATGTGTGAATGATCGTGTCCGTCATATGAAATAAATGATTTAAAATTTTAATGAAATTGAATTTGGTAAACAATATCTTGAATTTAGTAAACAATATTGTGTTGGAGGCTGAATCTAGTGCTACAACTATATCGTGTTGTACAAAATAAAACTGAAGAAAATGACACTATTACATACTCTATTGGTTTCTCACATGGAACAAGGAAAGCACTTTTGAACATGTAACTATCACAATCACTCACACGTATGTGATAAATCTCACATGTGTGAATGATCGTGTTCGTCATATGAAATAAAGGATTTAAAATTTTAATGAAATTGAATTTGGTTTACAATATCTTGAATTTAGTAAACATTATCGTGAATCTAGTGCTATAATTATATCGTGTTGTACAAAATAAAACTGAAGAAAATGACACCATTACATACACCATTGGTTTCTCACATGGAACAAGGAAAGCACCTTTGAACACATGTTCAAAGCAGTGACGTAATCCTAAATTTAGTATTATCATATTGGTGAAACTTTATTTTTGTTTATTTATTATATATAATACAATTAATCAACAAGACACTCTGGCCGAAGCATGCCCCTCAAATGTGTCTCTTTTTGTTTGAATGCTTCATAGTCCAACTCACATGAATCTACAGCTCGAAAGAGAAAAAGAGAGAGAGAAAATTAATAATTAATAATCCATCTTACTATTTTAAATTAAAAAATAAATAAAAAGCAAACCCTTGTTGTTTTCTCTGTTCATCAAACAAATCCCAATCTTCCTGTCGTGATAAGTTACCAATGTTATTAGTGTTATACAATATTTAATACACACACACACACATATATATGTGTACTGTGTAGTAGTATCACATTTAAAACTTTCTATTGAGCCATTGATTTTTCAAATATTTGTCCACATTACCTTTGCCAACCTATCTTAAATATTTAACAAAACCTACCATTTCTGAAAGAATAAACTCTTAGTGCCTTCATAAACCTAAAAGTAACATCAACAATGTTATGGCTGTCAACATGCGAATTAAGAGGAAACACACCCTTCTTTAAGTCGTCTGTCGCAATGTCAACAGAAAGACAAAAAAATATTTATGATTGTCAACGTGCAAACTAAGAGAAAATATACCCTTCTTTAAGTCATCTGTCGCAATGTTAAACTCAGAAAAGACAGAAAGATATTTATAAATCATCACCGTACTTGACATATAATTGAAATATGTCAAGTATATAAATTAAAGAGAAATGATTTGAGTGGTATATTCTCGACCGTTTATAAACGAGGTTGAGATAAGCCCAATTGAGAATGAAGATGTGTGTGAGTATATTTATATCGAAAATAAACAAGTTCCACAAACACTGTGCCATCATAGAGATGTCAAGAAGTAACCAAATTGTCTAGCAATTTTTGTTGAATATTAGAAGAATGTACATTGGAAATTTGAGGAAAATCACCTAGCATTTTTCTTGATTACAATTGAGAAAGAAATATGCTACTTCTTGTTGATAACTTGCTCATTGATAAACTATACAACCGATGGTGCAGGCAAGCGATTTCATATGAATAAAATACCAAATGCAGAAAGAAAAAAAAAAGAAAAAACCACACTTCTCTGCAATCACTTGTTCGTCGTAAAATGTCTGATAATCCACCACCTAGCTGCAAGACTGTACGAGACCATCGTCACATGTGATAATCTCAAAAGAAGAAACCATCTTTACACTGAATTAAGGGGGTGGTGGTGCAGCATGAAACCATTGTGACTAGCTAAGAAGAAAAGTTTAGTCTTTCATCTTTATCCTGGTTCAAGCTTTTCGGTATCCTTCAATGTCATTCAATGTCATACTTCTCGTAAACTTCTTGCTGTTTTTCTTCCCACCATCGCTCTGCTTCCTTATTAGTGAATTTCTTTCGACTGCAATACAAAATTCCAAGGTCCAGTGATTGTTCAAAGTTCGTTAAAATTTGCCCCAAAAAGAATAGGAATAATAAAAAATTCAAACTAAAATAGCAAGACACCACTAGAATGGAAAACAATTGAACAAACATATAATTAAATAGCATGAACAACATTAGAAATGAACATAAATGATATATATTTCATCCCTAAACCTATGTTACATGGACTAATGTACGTGTGTCAGATACAAGTTTGTATCCACACGTTAGACGTGTAAAACGCCCGGTCAGGACACTTGGACATTTATAGATATTTTATTATTTAATATTTTTATATTATTTTCTAGAGTAAAATAATATCTTCATGTAAGATAGTGTTTAATATAGGCATTTTAACTCATTTTAAAGAAATTCAGTAATATAATAAAAATGAATTATTGGATATGATTTTTAGGTGCATTCAACCAAAAATGCAAGACACATATCACATACTCATATCCAAGTATTGTGTGTGTGACACAGGTACTTCACATACTTGTGAAGAGTCCGTGTAACATAGCCCTTAACTAGCTGGTGGAGATTTGCTTTGAGAACCTGTCTCTATTTGGCGCATGTGAAAATGAATAGTTTATACATCTTTGAAACAAATGGGTAGGAGTTTTACCTGAACCTCACTCGCTTGAGACTCTTCTGCCCAGTAGGCAATGTTTTGAATGTGATGTATACACCAGGTTCATACTGTTCTACCCATTCCACATTCAACGCTTTGATTCCATTTTTTTTCTGTGTTCTTCGGCCACTTGATTCCTCCGCTGATGTAGTCTCGGCATGGTACATGTCTCCATCACGCGTAGATTGTAATTTATCAGAGAACATGACAGGAGTACTACACAGACTACCGACTCTTCTGTCTTCTGGCAGTCCAACTTCAGGAGGCAATTCTGTAGCGACAAACATACGGTTCACGCCCTTGACAGCCAGACTCTCTTTATGTATGGATGTGACGTGAGGCAGACTCGCATTAACTTGACCATTCACTTCTCTTACAGTAGATATATTCTCCGACATTGTGTGAAGCTGCAACAAGTAATATATGCATCACATCACTTATTGTGGCAATAAACACAAATTAACAGATTAAGGAAGGATTTAGCTTTTACATATCCGTTTTAGTATAGGCTCATTTATGGCGTGCGTGTGTGTTTTAGTATAGGCTTCACCCATTCCAAGTCTTCTATGACTTCTGGCTTTTTTTCCCCAATTCATCGGGACCATGTTTTTTAATCACACATTCAATTTTTAATCAACCAACTTTTGATGCACCATTAAAAAGAAACTCTCTTAGCATGGTGTTCATCATGGCCCAAGATGAACCATATAAGTAACTACCCAAATATCCATACCAGAAACGAGTAAAAGCAAACCTTCCTAGAATTTAGGGGTTTTAACTTTGCTTTCAAGAGAGAACCCTAATTATGAAATCTACTTAGTGGGTAATCATACAAAAAAGAGTTCGCTGGTTAATTTTATTAGTTAACTTCCCTCCATATTTACAAGGACTGGGAAGTTCAGGTTGATGACGGCTACAACTTTTTTTCATAACATACTGTTACTTTCGAAGTAATAAGTTGAAATTTGAAAAACTTGCATATATCCTGTTGATTTAAAATAAATAAATAAACAATAATAAAAAATACAAAGATTATGGCATTCAACCAACACATATAAATATTACCCTTAATGTCAAGGCTTTTATAACATCTTTTGCTGCTTTACACTTGGCAGCTTCCTCCTTTGCTAGCGACCAAGTTTCCTCAATTCTTTGTTGACATTCTTGAATTTTCTGTCTTCTTGTTTGACACAACTTTTCAAGACTCGCAGCCTATCAAAAATGCATGGAACTCAGTGAAAACAGAAAGTGCATAAATTTTTTATCAATTGCACTAGTGTCTCCTAAGGGAAACATGTAGACTTGAGTAAAAATTTAAAGATCATAATTGCAGATAAAAAAACACTAAGAATAGATAATAAAACATTTGTGTGAGAGTTGATTGTATAAACGGGAAGATGAAACAACAAAAACATTTTTTTTTTCAATTAGGAAGGGATACATGCTATGGACATGAGCTCTCTACAGTTGTCTCGACCAATCTATACTTCTTTTACACTGCCCAGAAGCAGCATTTTAAAGAAGACAAACCAAACATACCACAAGAGATAAACCCAAAAGCCTCTACATTCAATCTGCACCAACATGAATACATGATACAAGTGCTTCACAAAGAAGCTTTTTCTGCTATCCTCACTGCATTTCCAAATGATATAATGCCACACTCCGGAATATTCATGACTAACAATTACAACACCAGGCAATGTAAATGTACGCAAAAAGGGATGCTAGGCAGGTTCTAAGCGCATGTACAATGGATGGACTTGTAGTTGAGATTAACTTGTTACTACTTTCAATTTAAAAAAGAAAAAACAAGTAGGGTGATCAATTATACTCTTGGAGGATAATGTAGCAATCCATCCATAGGGTATGATCCTATGCATGAATTATAGAGAGAAATCACGTCATCAAAATTAACTAGCTTAAATTTCACATTAAGCATGTGTATGCATGTGTGTGTGTGCGCGCGCGCGCGTGCAGGCAGGCAGGCAGCCAGGCAGGCGGGCTGGGGGAGGGGGGGAATCCACATCCATATAAAGGCAGTCATGGTCAAAGTATAAGCAACGGTTTTCGAGCTTATGAAAAAAGAGCTATTACCTCAGCTCTTAATTTCTGAACTTCTTCAGTGAGCATCTTATTTGACTCTGATATGCCTTCCTCCACATTCAAGGGAGTGGAAGTACATTTTGATCCCAGTGGGATCTCTTGAAAACAAACTGGAGGAAGGGAAGATACTTGATTTCTTAAAACATGGGCCACTGTGTGTTCTCTACAGTCTGTTTTGAATAATTCATGGCATGGGACCTGCCCCCACCTTGGCAACCCAAGCAACAAAGATGAATTTAGGTCTAAAGGCTGCTTATTTTCCCTTTGGTTTTTCATGGTCTTCCCTTCACGGCATTTTTTATCCTCAACACAAGATTTTCCCGTTGACATCACTTGACTCTCTTTGGTATTTGCATCACCCCAGTCTTCTTTCTTGTCAGTGAGTGCCTTATATGTGGTCGATAATGGTCTTGGACTAAGACTTTCGAGCTTTGACACTCTAACTGAATGCGTAATCCTCTGCAGTTGGTTAAAGCACTGGTCACAGACACGAAAAGGCTTGCTTTTGTTTGGTGCCAGAGATGCATTTGCAACCTTATTGCTACTACATGCATGGCAGAATGAAAGACCACAATTATAACAGTTATGCTTTTTCCTTGTAAATCCAAAAGACACACTACATCCTTTACAAGCTGCTTGATCTATACTAGAGATAGATTTATGTAAACAAATTGCAGCTGTAGAATTTGATCCACAAGTTATACTTTCTACTTGTCTACCTCTCAAGGCCTCAACTAAGGTCGGAGAATCTCTATCTACATTGTCTCCTAATCCTAATTGTCCATTCCCACCTTTTCCCCACGAATAAACACGGCCGCGCGATGTGTAGACAGCGACATGATAAGACCCCGATGAAATGTCCCTAACAAACTCATCTTTAAGCTTCCCCTGCACTATTGTGATTGATTTATCTTTGGCATGTGGATTCCCCAGCTGCCCGTGAACTGCACTTCCCATTGTATAAACAATACCCATATTAGTTAGTCCAACAGTCAACATTCTTCCACAGGAAACTCGAACAAAATCATGATCCACAAGTTGTGCAACACATGTTGGTAAGAGCTTCCTCTCTTGATTAGCATGACCAAGCCTTCCCTTATCCCCATCTCCCCAAGTAAACATTTTCCCACCTGGATCCTTGAACTTGGAGCGTTCAACCATGACTTCTACAATTGCGGCTGTATGCCATGGTGCACATGCAACGGATTTTACCCATAAACCCTTGAGAGACTCAACTTCCTTTGGTTGAGAAATGCTTTGAGTATTTCCATGTCCAAGCACCCCAAAAGTTCCGTCGCCATAAGTAAATAACTGTCCAGTGGTGGACACAATTGCCATATGCCATTCCCCACAAGCAACAGTTGATATACTTATACCATCCAAAGGACCAGATAGTTTCTGTGGTATCCACTGGTTCCGGTTTCTATACCCACTGTTTAAATCAGAGCCAGAACTGTCACCCCATGTATAAAGTTCACCGGAAAGTGTCACAGCACACGTTTGATATTCACCACAGGCAACTGATTTTACATGGGCCCCGGTAAGGGAGTCAACAATTTTTGGACAGGTGACATCCATATTGACTTTATGCCCAAGCCTTCCTCCCTTTTCCTCACCCCAGCAAAAAACTTCCCCCTGTTTGGTAATTATAGCAGCATGCCTCGCTCCTAAAGATATTTTTTGCACATCTAGCTTCATGGTGGAATCTATCAATTTCGGAGAAAAAGCATCCAATTCAATTCCATTGTGGCTAGCAAACTTATCAACTCCACCTCCCAAACACCCTCCCTCTATTCCTTCTCCCCAGATCAAAACATCCCTAAGAACATTGTTATCTATTTGCGGTGACCCATGAGCCGGTGTCACAAACCGACCAAGCGAATTAGTTTGGATTTCTCCACCACCATATATTGCTCCCCTCTTTTTGAGATCATCCGGTTCAATATATGTAGAATTTGGAAATAAGACATCTGCTTGCATTGTCGAAATACTTGATTCCAAACAAAAGCTATTTGAAGAATATGATAAGCCATCAGACAAACACCTCTGTGAAAGTGACTGAGTTGGACTCCCGCACACGCTGTGCACCTTCAGAATGAAGTACAACACCATCAAAGACTAATACAAATTATAAAGAGATACTTCATTTGCTAATTTGAAGGAAACAACAGGAAAAATAAAAAGAAAAAGTTTGAGAGAGGAGGAGGAAAAACAAAACTTTATCTTCAGAAAAACTTGATCCGTATACATTCTAGTTTTAGGAGATTTTATTGATGCACATTATATATTGTCAGGAATCATATTCACCAATTATAGTAATAAAGTATGATACTACGTATAATAATTCCTTAAAATTCAATTTGGTTCGATGATTTACAACAAGAATCATATAGTGTCAAGCCAACAATATTATGATTCATCAGTTTCACTTATTATCACTCCAACAATATTTTTAAGCAATTTAAACTGCTAGAAGTTTGTCTTCAAGAACTACAATAATCTGTAGATTTCCCATCTATATCCATTCCCGAAATAATAGAAGCAGTTGATTCAGGCTTGGGCATCTGCTTTTAGCTTATTTAGTGGTCAGCTTATACACAAGCAACCAATAGCAGATGCTTGGAGATTGCCCTGCCCTGGAAACTACGATTGGGTGGTCCCTTTTCTCAGGGCACCCCCATTGTTGGAGTGCAAGCTTTGCCAAGCCGAAGCCTGTCTTCAGGATGATCAAAAAGAGCATACAATAGGGAGCAAAGGGAGCCTAGACGGATGGAAGAGCCAAGGGAGGCAAGGTCAGTTGACGAAAATGGAAGCCTTTTCCCAATTAGAGAAGGTCATATGGTGTAAATGGAAGAGCAAATACTAATGCCATTTCTAGAAAGCACAAAATTGTCAAGTATGGCTATCGATACACTTTCTAAAGGGACTAATATGTCTATCTTCCCATTATCTATATACAATGTTCCTCAGTCATGTTTACCGTTCACTCTTTTAAAAAACTGTAGAAATTGCTTTTAAAAAACTGCAGAAATTGCTTTCAAATCTCATTGTTACCACTTTCGTACATTTATCAGCGGATTAAACCCAAATTTAAAATTTGTTTCCAAGTCTGAACTGGTACATTTTTGGACAAACCAATAATGAAAGAAATTACGAACCTGCGAATATTTGGTGATCTCCTCTGTAAGACCTAGATTATGCTTTCTTCTCGTAAAACCTGCTGGACTATTGACACAAGATAGTGCCCCCCTTCGGATTTTTAAAGTTCCCAATGATTTAGGATGGTGACACCTGGAGATTACAGCTCTCAAGCCTACAAACCAAGAATCAGCCTCCGCTTTGTCCTTGCATATCTATGTAAAAGATAAATAGAGAAAAACAAAATGATGCTACAAATCTCAGCAAGGTTAGGAATATAATCAAATTATTAGGGAAGAATAATATGCATTACATGAATTGAAAATTCTGCAATTACCAGATCAAGAGAGCGTTCACCATTTTTATAGACTAGTGAAAAGGACTGACTTTCCCTTTCTGGTTGAGGTTGCCTCTGAAAATTAACCTGTAACAAGTAGATGTACCATATATAATATAAGGTTCTGACAAAGTTTACACTGGCGAATGTACCATACATATACAATTTTTTATTAACCATATACATGAACAGATAAGTATCAGAGAAACACCACATCAGTTGATGTAAATCACCACCTATCAATTTATGAAATTGATTTTATTACTTACAGTCTTTTGTCCTCGAATAATCTGTGTAACCAAGCTTAATCTCAATTGTTTTTCGTCCTGACCAGAATACCAGATCAAAAATTTCTCATCCTGAAATCCAGAAAATAAAAAAATAAAAAAGTTCTCAATTATATACTACAAAAAAATTCAAGTCACAAAGAAAAGTAAAAGAAAAAAACCGGATGATGTTACTAACTTACTATTAACACTAATAAGGATTTTCTTGTCTTCAGATCCATGTTTTATGTTATTGTTGAAATTGGAAGATGCAACAATATTTCACATATGAAATAAAATGACATTGTTGACACCCAAGTGCCCAACTAAGCTTCATCCTAATTATATAGAGTCAGCCACACAAGTCCTGCTTGGCATTGCATCTCAGTTTGAAGAAAAGCGATGGGTGTTTAGCAAAATCTGAACACTGAACAGGGAATGTGTAAGAAAGCAAATACGGAAGGTTTCTGTTAAAAGATTGGAAAATGTACTGTGCACTCCATCCTTTAAAGAGATTTATACTTCAAAAGGCTGCCATCACCACCAGCTTAGGCTCCTGTTAACTTCATAATAAGGAAAAACAATCGTATGATGTCCCTACATCAATATTTGGGATTAACTGGTGGAGTCATCCATTACTTCTGTATGCGACCAAATCGTGTAACGTATTACACCTTGGTGTTCTAATAGTAAATATAAGAGGCTCCCAGAGTTATAAGGTTTACAATATAGGTTAAATTCTATCACAGAGGGCAATTGTTTCTTACAAATGAAACAGCCAAGTTACGCGCACACAATTCATTTCAACAAATCTCACATAAAATTAGTGTACGAATGAATTACATGACAAAAAGCGCAACTTGATACATTTCACAGTTTCCTTACCGTGGATAACCTGAAAGGACAAAATTTGGGTTTTCCTCTCCGTCCATACTTCAAAAGATGTGCGCCCTTTTTTAAAGCCACAATCGCCTGCAGGAAGTCACAAAATGGTTTAAGGAATATATAAACCTTCTTTAAAATTAAAATAAACAGCAATATCAGTATTTGCAGAATGTTTTTGAAAATAAATTGTGTTTGTGAATCAGAAATGTCAAAGTCACATAATTTAAATACACAATTTAATTTCAGAAATTACTATAAACAGCAATACCAAATCAATTTGCTGTTTCAAACACAGAATTCTGTATAAACAGCAATAGCTAAATTCTGGTTTTACCTATTCAATAATTCAGCCTTCTCATGTACAGAATTTAATCATGAAAATAGTCATAATTTGAAATCTTGGTGTGAACACAAAAACGGAAAGAAAAGAAAAACATAAGCATAAGAACAATGATTGAGTAAATTCAGGCTGAATAACAGATTCAAAGCAATTTAGGAACCCAAACAAGGTTACATTTCTACACCATTAAACAAGATGAATCGATTTTTATGCAAAATGTAAGAAAGGCTGCCTTCCAATTCATTAGCTAAAATCCAAACCTTTTAAAGGTTTTATTAGCGCAATGAGATGTTTATCATGAAAATATACAATCACTACAACTTCGCGACATTCAAGTAAAAGCTACTCAAGGGAAAATATATATACACACACACACACACACACACATTGACAGTAACAATTGAGAAGATATAAGTGAGGCCTCTTCATCTCATTTTAAGTACACTAGAATGTTGGGTTGTGGGGCGGCACATAGAGTGGCTAAGCATGCCTAATTTTTCTTTTTGATGTTGAAATCGACTTCTTCGGGTATGCAAGCAAGTTGGCTTTTATGCTGTGTTAAAAAAATTCCCTTGTGTTTAGAGGGGAAAAACAGATAAAAGCCTTATACCATTGAAACTCATAACCAGTCACAAATGTAATACCAATTAAAAGGGCGCACACACACAAAAAAAAATAATAATAAAAAAATAAAATAAAATAAATAAAGAGTTTCTTTTGTAACTTCCTATTCTAGGTTCTGTAAAATTCAAATGAAATTACACATTCCACAAAATTCATTGAAAAATAACAATAAAAGAAAGCATCTTAGTAATCACAAACTATATTCAAGCAATCCTCTCCTTGTGTTTCTCATAATTTGGCAATAACAATTAGTCTCAAATTGCATTAGTCTCTAGAAAAGGAAAATGCACACACAGATCAGCAAAATAATGGTAACAAAAAAATAAAAAAATAAAAAAAAAAACAGATCAATGCCTAATGAATTATCCACATTACAAAACCAATTAAGTGCCCAAAAACCCATATAATCCACAACCTGAAATAGGAACAAAGCTTGTGATCTAAATTGGGTTTTTTCTTAATCATCCCAGACCACATCACTTCACTACTACTAAATAAAAATAAATAAAATTCACCCCCAAAAAAATAATTAAAAAATCCCATTAAGGGTGTAAAGAAATAAAAATAAAAAGATCATTACTTTGAGAAATTAAATCAAACTAAATGATTAAAAGAAAAATGTATGACCTGTTCAAGTGCTCTATCAGATGAGGGTGTCTCTAGAAACTCTTCATCCATTTTGATTTTCCACAAACACACACACACGGGGAGAATATGAAATGGGAAGAAAAGAGGGAGACAGGAGAAGCAGAAGAAGAAGCTTTGGTGTTCCTTACAAGGGAACCTTACAAAAGAATGTGTGAGAACTAAGAATGCATCAGTTTGTAGATGCTTCTGCTTTCTTTGCAGAGAATAGTATACGACAGACAGGGAGATATAGAGAGAGAGGGGGAGGGGGGGAATAATACTGAACAGAGTTTCTTTCTGAGTCTAGAGAGAGGAGAGAGGAGAGAGAGAAATGGGGGGATTGATTCCCCTTTTTTTGATATCTCTCTTTTTGTTAGTGATTCTATTCTTCCATGATTACTATTGTTCACTTCGTGTGTTGTGCGCAGAGGAGAGAGAGAGAGGAGAGAGAGAAACAGAGGTTTATTCTTACTTAAACCCAATCGCACGTGTTCTGTAATATACTACTAGTACTATTATTTTTGGTAATCTAAATTATAATATAAATACATGTGCATTATGTCCTTCCTATATTTGTCTAATGTTTATTTTCTGTACTTACAATATTTGATCTTTTACACACCAAAGATTTTCACCATCCATCACTAACAATTTTTCAATATATAATTTATAATTTATTTTTTGAAAAAAAAAAATTAAAATCTATAAATTGAGAAGTTCATTTTTTTTTCAAGAATATCATATTATCAATGTCGTCAACTAATTATATTTTATTATATAAATAAAAATAAATAAAATTTTTTTTTTAGTGTCTGTGTTTAATTAGTGAATGATACTATATTATCACTAATCCTAAGGTATTGAAAAATTTCTTATATAAATCCAACCAGATTTGAATTGCTAAATAAATACTAGAAAATAAAAAAGATCACTCTAAATTGATAAATTCCTTAAAAAGAAAGCACAAGGAGATGTAGTCAAGAATAAATGGATTGTATAAAGATTATAAAAAAGAGTTGCTTGTGTTACTATACTTTCTTACTTCTGTTAACAAATTTGTAATTTAGCAAATTGCTTCATTGTTCAAAAGTCTAAAATAAACACAAGTAGGTGAAGACAAATACATGGGTCTTTTCCTATTTTGGTCTAAGGGACAGGTAGCTTTTGAAATATTGACATATACAAGAAAAAAATAAAGGAGCATGGATCTTCTGCTGTAACAAATATTGTGTCGGATTTCACCGCTTACACATTCAGGCAATTACATATGCAAATGATAAAATCCGTTCAATTCGATACTCAATTCTACATTAAATAAATAATTCTCATCATCATCTTTGTTTTTATTTATTGTAATTTGAATAAAGTACCCCACAATTTTTTATATTTTTTTTTCTTTCATCACAAGTCATATATTATATTATATTTAATTTCTTAGAACCAATACTAATTATTTCATCCCACACAAAAGATATAATATATATATATATATATATATATATATATATATAATGTAATAGGCCATTCGTAATTGCGGTGTAATAAATTTAGATAAATATCGATATAAATTAATCGAACCAATTAGTTCATGGAACTATACGACCACATCGAACTCTTAAAAAAATCGACGAGTCATATATTAGACTAACTTATAAGGTATGACTCAATTTTTTTAAAATACCCATTTATTTATAAGGGTTTTAAAGAGGTCTTTCATCCATAGGGTACATGAAAATGACATTTAGAAAATGGTTTAACTCGTAACAAAAAGTTAATATGCTTGAAGTACATAAAGATGAGGCTATAGACTATAGACCATTCAATTCATAACATAAAGTTAGCTTCCTCAAGTCCCTCTCACACATGAGATAGAAGCCCATGAACAATAAAGGACTTCCTATAATCCTACCACAATAATTTTTTTCTTCTACTCCCTGTGTGTTGTGTTGTGTGTGAGTGTGTGTGTGTGTGTGTGTGTGAGAGAGAGAGAGAGAGAGAGAGAGAGGATAGGGTAGCTTTGCTGGAGTGGAGTGTCAATTTGTTGTCAGGAAGCTTCATTGATGAAAAGCAGATATCTCTCTGTAAAAATCAAATGGTTCCAAAATTAGGTGTGCAAAAAGTCAGCTAAAATCTGGTGCTCTGCCGCCCATGTAGGACCCTTGCATTCATTTACCTTTTTACCCTTCCTAAAAATCAATCGGTCAAATTGAAAATTTCTTACTACATGACAAATAGTCCATATGTCAAACAAGAAGTTAAAAAAATAAAAAAAATGTCAAACAAGAAGTTAAAAAAATAAAAAAATGTCAAACAAGAAGTTAAAAAAATAAAAAAAAATTGTTTAACAACTCATTACCATGTCAGCCCTTACTGACCTTCAACTATATGTCACGTCATTTTTTTTAATATATATATATTTCAATGAGAGTTACCATTTGTATATTTTTTTCACCAAACAATTAAATTGGAGAGTTGCTACTTGCATAACTCAAAGAACAATCTTCTATTTCACTTATATAATTAGTCATAATATATATCTTTTAGGTGGTATTCACACATCTATATACGTTTACATTGAGATTTGAATTCAAACCTTTCTTTAAAAAAAAATAGTTTGATATCACTGAACCACTGATTCGTTGATAATTACTAATAATATTTTGCACTACAGATAAATTAAGCCAATATTTCTTCTTAATGTTTTAGAAAATATTATAATGTATAGTGATGGACTTAGAAAATTTTGTGAGAGGGACAGACTTTTAATTTGTAGGAACAAAATTATATAGTAGGTCCATTTTTATAATTTCAATTAATTTTTTTCTTAAATTTTTAAAAATTTAAAGTATAAAATTAAAATAAAATAAATTTGTGGGCCCGAATTGTAATTTTAGTAGAGGAGCTTTCATAAATTGTTAAAAGTTTAAAGTATAAAATGCAAAAAAAAAAAAAAAAAAAAAAATCTGGTGAGGGCAAATTGTAATTTAAGTAGGGACATTTTCATAAATTCTAAAAAATTAAAATGTAAAATGAAAATATAAAAAATTCAGTGGAAGCCCACATTGGGTCCTTGCCTGTATATGTAATAAACAAAAAAATTAAATTTCCAAAGACTATTTTTTGAAAGAAAATAAATTTCAAGAGCGTATAAAATTAATGCGCCTTGAGCTCAGGGAGACACATGCTTCCACGACTCAAACTGGCTCCGTCCTGACTATGAGTTAGAATCCCCATTTAATCTCAGATCACATAATAATTATTTTATTTCCCCTAACAAGTAGCAATATTTTTGGACTTGTCTTGTTTTTAATAAACAAATCTGTCTGACTCCTTTCATATGCTTGGTGGACCAATGTCAAGCCATAACAGCAATTCACATATGGCCTATATATTCATCTAGGGCATGCATGATACAACTAGGTGAACCATTATTATAAAATTAGTTTAAGATTCGAAAAGATGTTGTGGGCTACAAATGTAGGTCTGCCCAACAACAATCGTGCTAAAAATGTACTTAGCCAGAGATTGAATATTCAATATATATATATATATATACACACACACACACACACAATCTGTTATTTTAACTCTAAGAACATCATGCTTGTAGACACAGTGACAAACCAATGTAGGATAGATAGGTTGTCAACTTTTCTGGTACAATTTGATCACAGATTGTTGAAACTTGAGAATACTCATTTTTGACTAAAAATTAGTCCATGATCAAAACTAACTAACTTTAGCTACCGTTTTATGTTTATTTTGCTAAATTCCATTATTTAAGATTCCAAAATCATATTTTTCAGTACCATAAGGAGACAAACTCCGGATTCGTTTAAAATTTAACAGTTGTTCTAGTTTAATCATTAGGAGTTTATCTCTATTTTTTTTTTTTTTTATATAATTTTATAATTTCTTTTGTTTTGAGATTTCTTTATTCGTTCTATTATTTATTATAAATAATATATAATTTTCTTACTTAAATTTTGTGAATTTAAAGTTGTTCACGAAGGTTCATGACTTCCACTCCATCACATACCTTGATTAAATACACATCCATCAAACACATTCGTGCATCAGCAGGAACAGATCCAGGAAATTGTAGGAGGGGGGCAAAAGAGAATTTAGTATAATTTTTTTTTTTTTTAATTTTAGAAGGGACAAAGTGAAAATTTTATAGGTATATAATTAAAAATAAGAAAACTTAGTGGCATATAACAATAAATAAAACTCTAATGTACCTGCGTCCCTGTGCATGAAAGAAGGTAAATTAATGAAGCAAGTGATATTAATACACGTGATACAATGCAATATAAGAGCAAAGTCACACAAGTTTTCCAAATTATTTCCACTCTCACCTTCACGTGCAGTTCAATTCTCACGCTTCACATATACTTTTATTTTAATTTTAAGTTTTATTGCTTTCCCGCTCCCGCTTCATGTAACTCAGTGTAAGAGTGAAAGAGAAGAAAGAAAATCCCTTCAAAAATGTTATGGTGTAACTTACAAAAATGTTAGGATATTTAATAAATCTTTTAATTTTTTTTATAAGGTCCATTTTGAACCGTACGAAACATATTTTACTGTTCTACCGGAGATGATTCCGGCCAAAAGAGAACCAATTTCTTTATCTATTTGGTAAGTCATGGGTTTAGTGTCCAAGTAAGGAAGAAGAAAAAAAAAGTCTACATGTTTTTTGGGGACAAGTGAATCCAAAACCATGCCATGTGAAGCTAAATCATTTCATGCCATGAAAAGTAGAAAATGTATAAATGATTTATCGTGGGACCCATTTGCAATTAACAACTTATTGATTGAGTGATTATTGTAGTAAATGGATTAACATGTAATCTATTGAAAGAACAACACTAGGGCATGAGTTATGGGAGCTACTAAACACTTGAAAAGCACACAGTTCACTCTAAATTGTCACTTTTAAAGGAAAATGACTTTTTTTAGATGCAGTATTAATATAGGAATAAGGACACTTGTCTTTAGGCTTTATTATAGGGATAATTAGCCCTTTTTAATGGTTTGATGATATGGACTTGGAAACATAATCTTTGTTTATGTAAAGAGACTAAAGAGGGCATATAAAACAACACTCACAAGACTCCAAAAATTTGATTAAACAAAGAATTCACATGGGTTTAGAAAATTGTGAATATATAAAGTTGTCAACAAACCAACATTTATCATCATTTCATATGAACAGAGGAAAGGGGTGTTAGTCTCAATCGCTTTCTATATTATGGGAATCAATTTTCTTTTACCACAATTTCTTTGGGGTTGTGTTTGATGGCATGTAATTTGGAATCTTGAAATTAAAATTTTAAAATTAAAAAAAATTTTAATTTAAGTTTTTTAAATTATTTTTTTTTAATTTTATCAATTTCAAATTTTCAATTTCAAATATGTCAAACATAGTCTCACT